GTTGTACCTGGCAGACATGGCTCAGGATGTTAGTTGTACCTGGCAGACATGGCTCAGGATGTTAGTTGTACCTGGCAGACATGGCTCAGGATGTTAGTTGTACCTGGCAGACATGGCTCAGGATGTTAGTTGTACCTGGCAGACAAAGCTCAGGGCACCGTGATAAGTGTTACATCACCTTTTGACGCCCCTCGACAGTGCGCATGCGTAGTTAAAACTAGCCATGTCAAAGCACAGTAACGAAACTGTCCATCTAAAAACCTAAAAAACTACCTCATGAAGCCGTGACCGACCTGGTAAACATGCTCTTTCTTACCTTATGATATTACATGAAGTGCATGCTAGCAGTGACAGTAAGAACCAACGTCTGTATATAATTTAACTTTTTGATTTTAAGACTGAAACAGTCTGCTTACTGATTGTTGTCACGCAGTAACGGTTGGGACCCACCTGACAACCACTCACATGATATTTAACGACAGCTAGGGAGACAACAGGAAGCACGTTTCTATGATTTGTTTCGGGTTTTAGGTGACCTACGGATAAACGGGTCGTCGCTGCGGGGTCTTTAAAGAAGAAGAAATAGAAACATGTTTGGTAAAAAGAAGAAAGCACCGACGGCGCCCAAAGGCCAGGGCGCCGCTGCAGCCAAGCAGGTAACGGCCCTGAAACAGTAACATTCATCCACGTGGTGCCAGATTGTAACCTCTGACCCCGTGTTTAGATGGGCTTGTTTGTTGACATGATGGACCCCGAGGAAATGATGATGGGCGCGGGGGAGAACGACCCGGACCTGGAGGCTGAACTTGCTGCTATAACCGGAAGTAAAGCTGTTGAAGGAGGAAGAGGCAAGCAGAAAGAGAAAAGTGAGTGTTTACTATTTCTACTTCCGGGAACTGGATGTCAACAGACGACCTGTAGGATTTAATTTAATGAATGCATCCTTTAACAGTTTGAGAGATTAGGATTCTAATCTGGAGACGGTGGTGCAGCGGGTCATTTTAGGTGGGTCCCAAAGAAGTGAACTGGAAAAATGACTGTTTCTGCAAACATGCAGCACAAACGCTGATTGATAATTGACTGATTAAATCAGCTGAAAAAAAAAAACCGAGTTGTTAAAACTAAAAAGATCAAAACACTAGGTAAAGGCTAAAAGGTGCAAAACACTGGTTAAAAGCCAAAAAGAGCAAAACAAGATGAAAGGAGTAAATACTGGCTCAAATTAACAAAGCTCTAGCTAAAATCTGAAAGGAACAAAATACTAGCTAAAGGCTAAAAGGAGCAAAACACTGGCTAAAGGAGCAAAGCTCTAACTAAAGGCTAACAGGAGCAAAACACAGGCTAAAAGCTAAAGCTAACAAAACATTGGCTAAATGCCAAAAGGAGCAAAACACATGCTAAAATGCAATAAAAGTTAAACAAGCTAAAAGGCAAAAGAAGCCAAACACTAGCTGTTAGGTATTCTCGTACCCAACAGAAAAAATACCTAACACTTCCTGCTAAAACCCCAAAGAAACAAAATACTAGATAAAAGGTCAAAGAAGCAAATCTCTAGCCTAAAGCTAAAAGTATCAAATTGGAAGCTCAAAGCAGCAAAATGTTAGTTAACAACAGCTAACAGCAAAAGACTTACTAAAACATAAAAGTAGTGAACCACCACTTTAAAAGTAGCACAAAAACCTAAATCTAGCTAAAATTGTTACGGTAATAGCAAAAGGCTAGCTAATACTAAATGTGGCAAAATGTTAGTTAAAAGCTAAAAGTAAGAAAACGATTAGCTGCAACCATCAAAGGGCTTGTTGAAACTAAAAATTCTAGTTAAACACTAAAAATAACACAATATTAGCTAAAAAAGATAACATAAGGGTGGCTTAAGGTAGCTAATTAGTTAAATGCTAAATGTAGCAAAATGGCTAGCTCAAATGTACAACTAACAGAGTGCTAACTGAAAGCATAATGCTATTCACAAGGTAAAAGTAGCTGAGGATTAGCGAAACATTAGCAAAAAGGCTGTTTAAAAGCTACAAGTAGCTGAATGCAGCAAGACGTGCTATCAGTGACGTATCACAGGACTCCTGCTGCTTGACTCACACAGGCGTGACTTCCTGTTTGTGTTGTAGACCCGCTGCCCATGGAAGACATCGCAAAGATGGCTGACGAGTGCATGAGAGATGTGGACGAGGACGACGATGAAGACGATGTTGAAGGCGACGAAGACCTCTTGGTTTGTGCTGGTGCCAGTACATATTCTATTCCCTTTTGCGCCAGTGTCTGTGTCTTTTCAGTGACGGAGTCCAAATCCAGTACGGCGGTCCAAAAATAATCTTTTACAAGACTTACGGTCGTATCTCACTGTTGAGTACTAGGAGACTCAAAGCGGTAAAACAAATGAGGAAAAAAGAAACATTTTCTTTAGTTGTGTCACTGTATTCTGAATGTTTGAGGTAGTCTCGGCCACTTGTTGAACGTTCACTCTTTGAAAATCGCAGCTTGTTGTATTCTGTGATGTAAACTGTACTCTTGGTCGTGCACATTATTTTGCTGCCCACCTTGTACCCGCCTTGGCTCAGTCACCACCCTCCTATATAAGATTTAAATCCACCAGAGTACACTTTTAAAATGAAGACATCTGGACCCGTTTTTCAATTATTTGTATTTTTATGTGGTTTTAGGACTTGGACTTTGGCCTCTGATGGCTTCTGTCAGAGGAGAGCTCAAGCTCAGGCGTAGAACAAGAGCTCTTGAGATGAGTTCAAGACACGTGGGAATACTCTGCAGCTGGTTTGAGGAAAAAAAAAATCAAGCGCAACTCACGAGGAAACGGAACTTGAAGATTCCTGCACAAATTATCCACTTTTGTACCTTTTAAAGTCAGAGCCCTGCTGCTTTAATGTCAGTGTTTGTTTTAAGTGTCTACCGTACTTGCCGCTGTACACGTTGCACCACCGTATAAGTCCCATCAGTCCAAAAAATGTCTAATAAAGTGGAAAAAAAACATAAATATGTCACTTCGCCATATAAGTCGCATCTATTATGCGCCACCGCTGACGCGTTGCGTTTGTTACGCGTCACGGCTGACAACCCAGAAATGTGGGCCGGTGTTGTGCCAAAAATCGATGTGGTAGCGTGCACAGGAGGACTTAACAAGATTAACACTTGCAATTATTTGTTTGCTCGACATTATAGTAAAGGTGTGTCTCAGTTGAACTTTTCTTTAATAAATGCATTTTGACGGTCAAACCAGCTGCATTTCTCCTGGGAAACCAGGAGCAGCTGATTTGACTTTCGCTCCAGGAGTTCCACAGCGAGACGAATGTGGTTTATATGGCAAGCCAAGTGTCTCATTAATAGCCACTTTACCTATTAATGAGACACTTGGCTTGCCATATTAGTCGGGGGCCCTCTAGTGGCTGAAAATGGTATTGTTCAACATTTTCCATGTCGGAATGAATGAAATTGTCAGATCTCAGCTGAAAATTGGCTTATAAATATGAGAAAAAAAACACAACTATGTTGTTTCGCTGTATAAGTCGCAGGCATGTTAATTTATGCAAAAAACTGACTTATGCAGTGAAAATTACAGTAATTAAATTGGCTTTGTTGACTGTAGCACTGGGCAGCACGGTGGCGCAACTGGTAGAGCTGCTGCCTCTCAGCGAGCAGGTCCTTGGCTCAAACCCCGGTCCGAGGGCCTTTCTAGGTGGAGTTTGCATGTTCTCTCCGTGCATGCGTGGGTTTTCTCCGGGTACTCCGGTTTCCTCCCACAGACCAAAAACATGCATGTTAGGCTGATTGGTAACTCTAAATTGTCCCTAGGTGTGAGTGAGAGAGTGAATGGTTGTTTGTCTCGTTTGTCTCTATGTGTCCCTGTGATGGACTTGCGACCCGTCCAGGGTGTACCCCGCCCCTCGCACAGTGATTGCTGGACATGGGCACCAGTGACCCCCGTGACCCAAAATGGAATAAACGGGTAAAGATAATGGATGGACTGTAGCACTGTGACCAACCACTACTGAAATGCTCTAATTTTTTATTTTAAAAATCCTTCACACCACAGACATGTTGGAACATTTTATTAGGCATGACTGATGTTATTGATTGATACAGATTGGATAATCTGATACCGATTATTGGAAAAATGCCTTGATTGAGACGAGACGATCAAAGCATCAAACGGTGACTTTTGATCGCCACGTATTTGAATAAAAACAGTGCATCTAAAACATCTGATGCTGATTTAAACAGCCTAAGTGATGACGGTGAACTTTTTTACAGTTATAGGCGTTGCACGGCCATATTGGGTCAGAAACAAAGAAGATGGATTAGAACTGAAAGCTTTGCTGCCGTTTACTGAGCTACTTTTCATTTCTCCGGTCTGAAGATCAGACGGACGTCGACACGAATGAACGAATGGAAAAGTTTAATTTCTAGTCGTGTTTAAACAGTCAAAGCCGGATACTAATGAATTATTTTATCTCTCTCCCGTCAGGCAGAGCTGCAGGAAGTGGTGGGTGAGGAGGAAGCTGAGGATGAGGCGTCTGCTTCCTCCACGTTGTCTGCTCCTCAGGCTGAAACGCTCGAGTCCCCGGGGCCGCAGGTGCAGGTTTACCTTTATTTGTTGCACGATGAAGCTTTAACCTGCAATTGTGGATGGCACCGTGAATTGTGTTTATTGACAACGAACTGTAGAATGTTCTTGAGCCCATGCAGTGATGTCCAGAACAGAACAAGACCTGTTCACAGGTCAGCTCTGAAGCAGACACCACCAGCAAACGTGTCAACTCGTTTTTCTCTTCCTGCTAACACAAAGTACCAGCTGCTTCATTTTTCCTAACCATTCAAACAAAACCTGCTTGTGCGGCTCTGGTGAACAGTTTCAACTCTTTGTAAGATGTCTATCTGCATTTCTGCAGGTGCATTTCCTGAAACAGTTTTAATCGTTTTCCAAACAAATAATTCACGAAAAACCTGAAGTCAGTATTTCTGTTTCTCTGGTTGTCGTAGCTTTTGTTCAGGTAGTGAAAGTGTGCCGGCACGGTGTTTGCATATTCAGGACGGGCTGTTTTCGGCGTTTTGTTTACTGAACCTGTTGGTTCTATGTGCGAAGCAGCAGGAAGTGAAGCGCTCGGCAGCGGCACCCGGCAGCCTCCAGCACACGCTGCAGGAGCGAGTCGCCATGTACCGAACGGCGCTGAAGAACGCCACGACCGCAGGGGACACGTCCAAATCCAGGAGATACGATCGAGGCCTGAAGGTTGGTGAAACGGGTTCGATCGAAACGCAACGCTGAGCTCTTTTTGTTGAGTTGAAACTTTACGAGACAAAGATGGCATCTACTGATAGCTCGTACTGAAAGGTAATATGAAGAAACAAGAATGCAAAATCTGAAATTAATTTATATTTTTGTCCATTTCGCTGATTTTAAAAAGCTGCCGGAAATATTGCTTTAACAACATCAAAATGACATTTAACAGTAATACACAATAATTGAAATTTTACATCATTTTTAATAGAAAAATCTTTAGAGTTGCCAACCTGCAAAACATCAGATTACGAGTTCCCTTCAGAGTTAATTATTAATTAATAAATATATTTTTTTAAATACATTTTTTTTTGTTTGTTTGTTTTGTTACCTTTCCCTTTTAGCCATCCGATTTGTTAAAAAAACAAAAACAAACCTGCAGTATGACTTTTTATAACTGTTTATTGTTGTTGCTGTTGTCCATTGTTGTCATCTTTCTTTGTTGAAATCAGGTCTCTCTTGTAAATGAGTCCTCGAGGCTCAATGGGATTTACCTGTATAAATAAAGGTTGATTGATTGATATTAAATTTTGTTTATATCAGGGAAGAAATGTCTGTATTATGAGTCCAAAAACATAAAAATGTTTAAAATGTAAGTTTTTAAATCAAAACAAGTCACCATTAGAGAGTTATTAGTAATAAATGCTACAGTTTGTGTTTGTATCCATATACCGTACTTTCTGCCGTACAAGTCGCATCAGTCCAAAAATGTCGAAGTGGAAAAAAAACTAAATAAATACGTCGCTTTTCCACATACGTCACATCTATTCTGCATCACCGCTGACCACCCGGACACATGGGCCGGTGTTGTGCCAAAACCTGATTGGCTGCCAAATGGTCTGCACAGGAGGACTTTAACAAGAATTTAACTAGATTAACACCTAAAACAATTATTTGTTTGTTCAAAATTATAGTAAAGGTTTGTCTCAGTTGAACTTTTCCTTAATAAATTAACTTTAATGGTCAAATCGGCTGCATTTCAATAGCTGATTTGTGGCTGCGGGAGCGCACAGAGGGACGACTCGCTGTGCATTTCTTCAAATTTAACAAGACCACCACCTAAAAACAATTGTTTGTTTGCTCAACATTATAGTAAAGGTGTGTCCCAGTTGAACTTTTCCTTAATAAATGCATTTTGACGTTTGCTCCAGGAGTTCTGGAGCGAAAAGAAGGTGGCTTGGTATGGCAAGCCAAGTGTCTTATTAATAACCATTTTTACCTGTTAATGAACCACTTGGCTTGCCATATTACTCAAATGCCCTCTAGTGACTGAAAATGGTAGTGTTCAATATTTTCCACGTGAAAATGAACGAAATCGTCAGATCTCCGCCAAAAATTTGGTTATAAACATGGGGGGAAAACATACGCTGCATAAGTTGCAGGGCATGCTAATTTATGCAAAAAAGTGTGACTTATACAGCGACGAGTACGGTAAGCTGCACCTCTCAAGGAAAACAATTCAAACAATGTTCACTGAATTTAAGTTGACCCAAGTAAATTAATTTATTCTGGGCATCTAACGCTGATCTGATAACATAAAACATTATTATTATGCTGCTAGGATATATAATTTCAGATGGGGATTATTTCCTTAATACAACAACAATAATAATAAATTTTATTGAAGGGGCATCTTTCTGGACACTCGAGGACACCGTACAGCTGAAACAACAAAGATCTGCTGCATAGCCGAGCAGTTAAATCGAAAGAGCAGCTGAAGAAACGAAGATTTAAAAAGATGTTTTCTTAAAATCATTAACCAGGTGAAATAAAAGCTTTACTGTGAGCTGAACAGGACTAAACAAAAGCTGCAGATAAGTTCTTGTGTTTATGATCAGATTATATCATTAGTTACATGTTTCCCGTCCTAGATTGTTTTTATTTAAAAGTAAATTTAAAGTTTTTACATTTAAACTCTGCATGTTTTCTGCTCTGAGTTCAGCCGCCTCGTGTGAACTTTACTTTTGCTCCTGACAGACTCTGGAGTCGATGTTAGCTGCTCTGAAGAAGGGGAAGCCCGTCAACGAGTCTGAGATCCCTCCACCTGTTGCTACTGGAGCCCCTGAAGCCGCCTCCCGACCCCCTCCCTCAGAGTCCGCTCGGCAGGAGGAGTCGGAGGCCACGACGCCTCCGTCTGCTGCGCCCGACGCCGTCGCATCGAGCAGCAAAGAGGAGCAGTCCTCCTCCGCTCCACCTGCTCTGAGCAGCCTCCCATCTCCTGAGGAGCAACCTGAAGGAGCCGCTGAGTCCTGGAACTGCAGCCGGCCCGATGGTGAGGTCCAGTTCAACCACACCAACAGACACGAGCTAAATTCAACGGTGCTCTACAGAAACAACCGCTGGGTTTTTAGTTTCGTCCACGTGTGACGAATGAGGCGTCTCACCGTGACGACTGTCCGTTTCCTCCGACTCTGCAGCGAAGGAGGCGACGAAGACGATGCTGTTGGAGAGGCAGAAAGAATACAAGATGGCTGCTCTGAGAGCCAAGAAGCTGGGAGAGCTGGAGCAAGCCAAGGTTTTCTTTGTGACCAGTAAGGTGAGCTGAAAGACGAACCTCGAGTCTAAAGTTGGTCACGTCGCCTGTCATCGTACGTTTTGTTTCTGTGCAGAGGTTCGACGCAGCGATGGAAGCGCTGGAGAACGGAGAACCCGTGGACCTCGGAGGTCTTCCTCCACCTCCAGGGAAAGGTCTGCAGCTTTGTAATCAGATTACTTCTTTCCGTTCAGATGAAACGGTTTATTTAGAAGGTTTTTGTAGGAGAGCTGCGTCGAGATTCACAATGTTGGTTTCCTTCAGCTCAGGTTTTTAATTAGAACTACTTCAGCAGACGTTCAGCTGTTTTAACCCTTCGTGTTTCAAAGTATTCAGCTCGTTCACAACTTTTTGTTTCCTGTAACTTTTATACTTTTTTTTTTTTTTCAACTTTATTCAAATTTTCTTTCTAACTGAAATTAATGAAAAAACTCTTCAGATCCTTAAAAAAAAAACTTTGTGCTCTTTGAAATCCACTTCAGCATACCTGTTTAATTTGTAGCTTTTAGCTACTGTTTTGCTGGTTTTAGCTTTTAGCTAGTTTTAGCATGAAGCTACTCTTGACAGTTTTAGCTTTAAGTTGCTCTTTTGCTCGTCTTACAATTTTTGCTACTGTTTTGCTAGCTGTAGATTGAACAAGTTTTTTCCGCTTTTAGCGGCTTTTTTTGTTCATTTTAGCTGTTGGCTTCTTTTTTCAAGTTTTAGCTTTTAGCAACATTTTGCAGGTTTTAGTTCTTAGTTATTGTTTAGTCAGTTTTAGCTTTAAGTTTTTATTTTTTCTAGTTTTAACCACAAGTGTCAGTTTTAAAGTTATTAGTTTTTAGCTATTGTTTAGCTGGTTTTAGCCTTTAGCTAGTTTTCGCGTGAAGCTACTCTTTCGCCAGTTTTAGCTTTAAGTTACTCTTTGTTTTTGTTCCATCTTAAAATTTTTGCTAGCTTTAGTTTTTAACAAGTTTTTGTTAATTTTAGCTTTAAGAGGCTTTTTTGTTCATTTTAGCTGTTGGCTACTTTTTTTCAAGTTTTAGCTTTTAGCAACATTTTGCAGGTTTTAGTTCTTAGTTATTGTTTAGTCAGTTTTAGCTTTAAGCTGTTGTTTTAGCTAGTTTTAACCTTTAGTGTGTTTTTAGTTTTTATGTCTTTTAGCTGGTTTTAGCCTTTAGCTAGTTTTAGCTTTTGTTCTGATCAGTTTCACTTTCAGCTCATAACTGTCAGTGAAGTCAGGAAGTTCAGGAACAGAAAATAAAGCTCAGTAATAGTTTGAAACTGTTTGATCTGAAGCAACTTGAGCGTTTAAATTTATCACTTTAATAATTTAAATCTTTTAAAAACTGGAGGAAAAAAGGAGTTCAGTTTCTCCAGAAACTCTTATTATTTTACTAACACGTTCAAAGCTGAAATGGTTGGTCTGCCTCGGAGCTGATGATGTGTTTTTGTTACAGGCGCAGCAGGAAGTGGCCCCCCCTCCGGGTCAAACACACAGCCCCCGCCTGCTGCAGCTCCCGGTAAATAAAAGTTTGAACGTTCTTCGGTGCGAGTCGCTCCGGTGGAAGCTGCATTAATTCAGTTTGCAGGACTTTGAGTGTTTTCATCGAGGTTTAGTGTAAAAATGTGACTTTACAGAAAAAAACCTTTGAGTTCATTTTATTATGAATAAAGTTCAACCAGGAACAGCTTTAATGGTTGAAAACACCAAACTGTTCACTGAACTGGTCCCATGAGTGCTGTGGGTTTTATTTTGCACGCGTATATTTTTTATTCTGGTAAGATGCTTCAGGTTTGACATGAAACTGCAGGTAAAATGTCTCCTTTCAGTTCCTGCCGCCTCGTCGGCTCCTTCAGCTCCCAGAGACGTCCTGGAGGCTCTGGAGCAGAGACGAGCGAAGTACGAGGAGGCGTCCAGTCAGGCCAAAGCCAGCGGGGACGACCGCAAGGCCCGGATGCACGATCGCATCGCTAAGGTACGAACAGATCGCGCCGCCATATTCTCTTTAAATCACGACCGGAGTCTGGACAGCGGCCGTAAATCCTTCTACAATGTTCTCCTGCAGCAATATCAGAGCGCCATCCGAGCCCACAAAGCAGGAAGAGCGGTGAACTTTGACGAGCTGCCGGTCCCCCCCGGTGAGAATCCAACTTTTGATCCAAACGTTTAGTTTATATGTGACAAAATTATGAAATCAACATGTTGATTATGGATTAGAACATAAATAAAACGTCTCGTCTACCTACCATATTTTTCAGACTATAAGGTGCACTTAAGATCATTAAATTTTTTCAAAAATCAACTGTGAGCCTTATAATCGGGTGCACCTTATGTATTAATTCTGGTTGTGCTTACTGACCTCGAACAGAGTTTATGTGGTTATTGTGAATGAGTTGAATAAAGTTTGTTTTATCTGACTGTTTTGTTTCACTTAATGCGCCTTATAGTCCGATAAATCCGGTAGTTTGTTGTGATTATTCGTCCCCAAATGTGGCTGAAATAGAAGATTTGTTAGCTTTTTTGTTTTGGTTCAACTTTCTTCACATTTAGCTCCTAAAATCTGATTCAGTTCTGGACTGAAGAGGTTTTTGTGTACTTTTATCAGTACTCTGTCAGTACCTGTGTTTTATTACAGCGTGACTTCACAGACGGGTGAATCTAAATCTTGGTCCCATGTTTCAGGCTTCCCTCCGATCCCCGGGCAGAAGGTGCCGGCAGCAGAGCAGGGGTTAGTCGCCGCCCTCGAAGCAGCCAGCAAGCTGGCCTCCACCGACGCTGCAGCAGGAGATGAGGAGGAGGAGGAGACGGAGGAAGAGGTGAACTCCCAGCACCCCTACGATGTGTAACGTACCGTCTGTCCTGCTGAACATGAGGATGATGTTTTCTCTCTCCGGTAGTCGAAGCTCGTTGTTCCAAATAAGCCAAAGAAGCCCATGTTGGACATCCGAACGGACGATCTGCAACAAAAAGGATCTTCGTCACCGGAGAAACCGACTCCGGAGGAGAAACTTTCCCCGACAGGTCAGGAAACGAGACGTTCCTGTAAATCGTCAGAGCTTCGTGTTGTTTCTGAAACGTCTTTCTGCGTTCTGTCTCCAGCCGTTCAGCAGCTGGAGCTCCTGGAGAGCCGAAAGAAGCAGTACTTGAAGTCGGCTCTGCAGGCGAAACAGAAGAACGACCTGGACCAGGCCAGGGTTCTGCTCCGCACGGCCAAGAGCCTGGAGCCCATGATCGAAGCGGCACGCAGCGGCCAAACCGTGGACATCAGCGCGGTGAGCCAGAGACGAGTCGCTTCGTAGAAAAGCTCAAATATGACCCTGAACGTCAGGATGTAACGAGTCTTTCTGTTCGTCTTGAAGCTGCCGTCGCCGCCCGGCGACGAGGACGACGGCTTCATCCTGGTTCATCACAGCGACGTGCACATTTCCAGCAAAGACGAGGCCGTTTACACGCAGCTGGCCAGCATCCTGAAGGCGCAGCATGAGGTGAAACTGCCTCCAACTCCCCCACAGCTGCTTTAAATTGTGCGTCGCCTGCAAAGATGAATACTGAGCACGTGTCTGCTTCTTTCCAGAAATGTTCGACTCACTCCCAGCAGTTCATGCACCTCGGGAACGTCAGCGAAACCACAAAGTAAGCTTCCAGCAACTCTCAGCAGCTCGTTATGAGGCTTCAGGAGTGACGCGACGTGTTTGCAGGTTTGAGAAGATGGCAGAAAGCTGTAAGAAGAGCCTGGAGGTGCTGAAGCTGGCCCAGTCCCGGGGCCTGCCTCCTCCCAAACATCACTTTGAGGAGAAATCGTTTCGGACTGTAAGGTAGGAGCATTTCTTCTGAGTCTGCTTTGTTTAAAGGTAGTTTTTTTCCTTCAGTATTAAAGCCTGATTATGTACATGTCACCTTAAATAAAAGAAACATCTGGAGTAGGAACAGCTGTAACAACTCTGTATGTATATTTTACCTCTTTTATTACAGTATTTTTCTCTGTATAAGTTGCACCTTTTTGCATGCCCTGCGACTTGTACGCCGAAGTGACTGATAGACGTTTTTTCCATGTTTATAACCAAATTTTTGGCTGAGATCTGACGATTTCATTCATTCTGACATGGAAAGTATTGAACACTACCATTTTCAGCCACTAGAGGGCCCTCAAGTAATTTGGCAAGCCAAGTGTCTCATTAATAAGTAAAAGTGACTATTAATGAGAACTTGTCTTGCCATACAAACGTCTCTCCAGAACTCGTGGAGCAAACGTCAAATCAGCTGCATTTCACCGCGCCGCCAGGTGAAATGCAGCTGATTTGACCATTGAAGTGCATTTATTAAGGAAAAGTTAAACTGAGACACACCTTTGATATAATGTTGAGCAAACAATTAATGTTTTTTAAGTGTTAATCTTGTTAAAGTCCTCCCGTGCACGCTCCTGCTGCCGCCATTTGGCAACCCATCGATTTTTGGCACAACACCGGCCCACATTTCCAGGTTGTCAGCGGTGACGTATAATAGATGCAAATTATGCGGCGAAGCGACGTATTTATGTTTTTGCCCACTGTATTAGACATATTTGGATTGATGCAGTTTACAGCAGCAAGTACGGTACTTTTTATATTAAATTACTGTGCATGTGCCATTTACCGTTTACTAACTTTACTCTGAAAGATTTAGATCAACATTCATCATTTGGTCTTTTCTCAGGTTATCATGTACTCAGACTCCAGAGACAATAAATAAAGATGTTTTTCCTTCCTGTTTTTAGCATATTTCCAGAGCTGAGCAGCACCGACCTGCTCGTCATTGTCGTAAAGGGCATGAACCTTCCTGCTCCCAACGGTAAACATTTCAATTTGAATACACAAGAGACAAAGGAGGGTCTGCAGGGTTCCCCGCTGACTCTAGATGGTTGGGTTTTTTTTATATTTAAGTCTTAACGCTCAGTGAAGAAACGTTTGTTTAGTTTGATTATTTTTCTTCTCCTCCGTCAGGGATTCAGCCCAACAATTTGGACGCTTACGTCAAGTTTGACTTCCCGTACCCCAGCGCAGTAAGAGCCTCACATCCATTAAAATCTTTCAAACCAGACTCGGTTTGTCCTGAAACGTGTTGCCGTCTCGTGCTTCTCCTCCCAGGAGCAGCCGCAGAAACACAGAACCAACGTGGTGAAAAACACTAACTCACCAGGTAACAGGAAGTTCGGAGCCAAGTGTTTGTCTTTAGCTCAGGCTCTCGGACCTTAGGTTAAATTCTCCCCGTTTGTATTTCCTTGTGTTTAATCCACAGAACATGTTTTTTTTGCAGAGTACAACCAAAGCTTCACGCTGACGATCAACCGGAACCACCGAGGCTTTCGGAGAGTCGTGGCGTCTAAAGGCCTGAAACTGGAGCTGCTGCACAAAGGGTGAGTCTCTGGATTGACCCATGGTTTGACAGAGTTCTTTACCTGATGAGTTCATACGTCAACACATCCATCTGTGAGCCGACCTTCACATCTTCTTCTCAGTTTGTAACTAAGCCTGAATAACCCGAACCTGTAAGAGCAGAAAAAGATTCAAAAAGTTCAGACGGAGAAATTTCCTGTCATCAGGTTCAGGTGTTTTTTTTTATCAAAAGCTCTGATTTTTTGTCGTCTCTCAGGGGTTTCCTGCGGAGCGACAAGCCGATCGGGACGGCCCTCGTGAAGCTGGACAGGCTGGAGTCGCAGAGCGAGATCAGGGAGATCGTCGAGGTGAGGCTCGAGAAAAGACTTTTCAACTTAGCGAACAATCTGGATTAATTTATCCTACATCGATGACTCCGGAGCTCACTGATGATATTTAACGCCCGTGCGCTCCTCCTGCCAGGTGATGGACGGCCGGCGGCACACAGGAGGTCGTGTGGAGGTGAAGGTTCGCCTGCGGGAGCCTCTGAGCGGTCAGGACGTGCAGGCGAGCACCGAGCGCTGGCTGGTCCTCGACTCGTCGCAGGTAAGACCAGAACCGCTCAGGACTCGGACACGTCCAGGTCCCGATGCATCGGTCGACTCGTTTTTTTATATTATCTGGAAAATGGTTCCATCAACTGGTCGTTTCTTTTTCAGCCTCGTTTAGACGTTTCTTCAAAATAAAAGGTGAGTCGCAAAACATTTATTTCTTTTTTGGTTTTTTTTAAAGAGCAAAATGAAAGTGTTGCTCATAAACTCCGTCCAGTTTTCTGATTGATGTTTGAAAGCAGAGTTGTCAAACTCCAAGAGCCAAAAAAGAACAGATTCAAACCGAGGGCCAATTTCAGCCGTTTGAGTCAACTCGAGTCAGACACCGGACATCTTTTCTTGCCTGCAGCTTCTTCAAAAAGATCCAGGTCCTCTGGACGGTTTCATTTTTTATTTAAATGTTTCATCCTTCATCCAAAGGACTTCATCAGTCCATGGAGCCACAACAAACTCAGTCCCACAAGCAGCATAATGGGCCAACCACTTTGTTGGATTTTTTACCTGGATTATTGAGAATTAACTTGGTTTTTGAACCACCTTGGTTATGCAACAATTTTCAGTCAGGTCATCTGGACAGTTTCTTTTTTTTGTGCTGAAACGTTTCACCTTCCATCCAGAAGGCTTTATTAGTCAAGGAAACGCACAACAAAACTGATTCTTCCCCCAACAGCTTACTCCAAAGTGGAACAAACCAGTTATGTTGGTGTCTTTGGCACGCCCCCTCCTCCGGTGCCGGCCCTCTTCCTCGTCGACAGTCATGTTAAACTGGTTCCACTTTGGAATAAGCTGTTGGGGGAAGAAGAATCACTTTTGTGTTGTGTGTTTCCTTGACTGATGAAGCCTTCTGGATGGAGAGTGAAAAGTTTCAGCACAAAAAAAAGAAACTGTCCAGATGGCCTGACTGAAAATTGTTGGATTGTATACCTGGATTATTGAGCATGGACTTTGGTCACTTTGGCTATGGCTGCCTCAGAGGAGTTGACGGGGGAGAGGGCGGGCCCCAGAAACCATCTTATCACCATCAAACTGGTTGGTCCACTATGTGATTGTGTTGCGTGTGGGACTGAGTTTGTTGTGGCTCCTCGGACTGATGAAGTGCTTTGGATGAAGGATGAAATGTCTCAACAAAAAAAAAAAACCGTCCAGATGACCTGACTGAACGATGTTGGATTGTATACCTGGATTATTGAGCATGAACCTTGTTCCTCAAAAAGAGTTTGATCTCTTGTTCTCCGTTGCTCTTTCCACAACCAAAATAAATAAAAAAAAAATACTGAAAAATTCAAACTTTCTGAGAAGTCTGCACTAAATAAAGTTGGATTTTCAAGCAAAATGAGAAGTGATAAAAATAATTTTAATTTTAAACCTTTAGGGGCCAGATAAGACTGTAGCAAGGGCCATATTTGGCCCTCGGGCCCTGAGTTCGACACGTGTGTCACGTGGTAAAAGGGTAAAGTTTCATACTGAATACATGAGTGACGCTGATCTGCTCAGAAAGCTGTTGAACAGTTTGCTGCTGTTGAAGGAGTAAATATTTGAACGTGTCTGTCCTGCAGCATCAACCAGAACCTCTTCAGAGGAGGATCCACTTCGGGCCGAACCTTTTGCACATGTGCGCCGCACCACAGCTCCTTTCTGCACGGCGGTCCTCCACGAGGAGACGTTTTACTCTGCGACAGATCGACTGCGAGGGATCCAGCGAGGCCGACTGTTTAAATCAGGAGAGAAGAGTCGTTGGAGGACAGCCGTGTCCAACGACGGTCCTGCTGACAGAACTTTAATGTACAATAGAACAGAACGTTTGCTTGTTCTTCTTCATCTCTACAGCTCGGGGATGCAGAACTGAACCTATGCACTAATACCAAAGTAATCAAAGTTGCTGTAAAGTTGAAATCGCCTTTAGTTGCCGAACGCGTTTCGACAGATTTATGTTTGTTAAGACGCGCCTTCGGTTGTTGGGAGTTCGAAGCGACGTAGCGGGAGGAAGTTTTACAGGAGAAAGCCAAGAAATGTTCCACAAAAGGCTCCTCTGTTTGTTTTGGCACTTTTCATTTAGACTCAGAAATCATTGAAATGTGCAGAAAACACAAACGTCAGGAGATTTATTTATTCTAGTCAAAGAGTTTGTGCCTCAAAGACTGAAAACGGGTTCCTCACTGAGCTGCGACTGGGACTTGAAATTGTGAGAGCGTGCACATTTTGAGCAGAGTTGCATTCCTGGCCGTGCACATTATTTAGACGTCCGCCTGGATTTAATCTGCTGGAAGACTTTAGAAACAAAAGATGGACTTAGAGCAGGTTTCAGTAATTATTAGTCAGGGTGGATTTTAGAAGCGGACCTTTCCATCGGATGTTTTCTGTCGAAGCGGCGCTCTCTGCAGCTTTCTGGGAGACGCCCGCATCGAGAAAAACTGGCGTTTAAAACTCGGGCGAGAAGCCTCGGTCAGTCCAAACAGGAAGCTGAGAATCCAGAGCTGCGTTCTGGAGACGTTCAGGAAACTTCATGAACTCCGTTCGACAGCCGGCAGAGAATCCAGCTGAAGTCCGACCGCGAGGCCGAGTCCAGAGTGTCGAGTCGTCGGTTTCCTCTCGCAAGAAAACGCAGAAATTTTTTCTCTTAAAGTCGAGTCGCCACGACCTTCTCGAGCACGAGATCCGACGGAAAAAACACGTCCAGCTCCAAAAGCCAGGCCGACACTATTACTGTCGAAACATTACGGCAGGGAGACTACGTGACAGTTTACTGTTCAGTTTCAAAAATAAAACTATCAAGTGATTCAGTCGCAGCTCAGTCGGTCACCGTCTTTAACGGAGTTACAGTGAATGCATCTCAGAGTATTTTAAAGGGTCGGTTCACTGCAGGACGTCTTCCCCAAAACTGTGGCGTCGCTCCGTTTGAAGGGCGTCACCGGAGTTAAAGCTACGAGCTTCTTAAAATAAAACTCATTTCTCTTTGGGATTAGGGACGAACGTTCTGAGGGACAATAAATGTTTACCAGAATTTTTATTTTATTTTAGTGAACTGGCCCTTTAGAGTCCAAAAAAAGCATAAATGTTCTGAGCCAAGTGTTTAAATAATATATAGACCTTTATACCTCGTTAGTTTGGTCCCAACATTTTTTTTTAATGTGCAGATAAAATAAAACTTTATCATTTAAATCTGAATAGTCAAAAAGCAAAATTTGTTTTCTAATGTTTGAATTTCCATCATGTTTACAGAAATCTGTTTATTTCTGAACCGCTCCTAAATCACGTGAAGTTTTTAAAACGGCACCAATAAATACTTTAATTTTACAAGTAATCAACTCATCTCTGCTTTCTAAGGTTTTATTTAACTTGCTGCTTTTTGTTTTGGGAATAAAGACTCGTTTTTATGACGTTTGTAGCATAAAGAAACAAACTGATATTTAATAAAAAGGAAAGAAAAAGTCCAGTAAAATAAACGAGTGCATTTTTCATCAACAAACCATTAAACTGTTCAAATGCAAAGTTTGAGTTGATCCGGTTCAGGCTCGGTTCTGTTTGCATGCAGTGTTCAAAGTTTAACACTTTATTTTTTACAACTGAATACAAAAACAAATGCTACTTTATTTAAACAAATTGCACCTTTTTTGATTTAGGACATATTGCACACATCTGGTAATGCCAAAAAAAAAAAAAATCTGGTTCTGCTCGTTTTTAAAACCGTGACGTCGTCGAAGTCACAAAGATAAACCTTAACTGGATATTTCTGATTTCCTACGTTACAGAAGTTCCTAAATGCCACAAAATTAAGAATGAAGCGAATTCCAGTTCAGATTTAAATCCGAAGTGTTGGCTCTTCTGCAGATTTTCAACTGATTGTCAAATTTATTTATAAACCCTTCATGGGTTTGATTTGACGCAGAGCGGCTCCTGTGCAGTTTGTTTGATTTTTTTGGCGTTTAGTCCGACGAGAACAGAAAAATACATTCGTAGATTTATCCTCCAGGTCCGGGTCGGACTGCACCCGATCTGTTCGTAGCTGCTCGACGACCGCTGAGGCTCCTTCAGACGCTGCAAAGTCTCGTTTTCAGGGCTTTGGAAGGATGCAGAAATAAAAAAAAAAACCATTAAAAAACGAGAGATGAGATACATTCAGCTTCGGGTCGGTCAGTATCTGGTTTCTGCAGAGAGCCCGGATCTTTAGACTTCTTGCATCCTGCACCGCCTCACCCGACTCCAAACTCTTGGAAATGGCTTAAATCCAGTGCACTGCTTCTGCAAATACAGTCTTTATAGATCTGTTTTAAATATTTATATATCTTTACATCTTTGTATGACTGAAAGGACCAAAATAAGTTGAGGTGCTGCTGGAAAACGGACATTTTAAAGACTGAACTGGTTTCTCTCCTGATTTTCAGCTTTTTGTGTACAGATCGAGTTTCTTATAAAGCATCAACTTTTTTTTTTTCCTGTAGGTTTTTATATTTAATGGACGTCCGGGTCACTTCTGTAATACTGAGATCTCTGGAAGCTACATATGATACACTTATGGAGGAGAAATCGCTCTGCTTATAAAAATATGTACAAGTCTGTGCAGCCGGGACAAAAAATGGGTAAAGCTTCAAAAGTGAACGTGTTTTTTTGATTGTTTTTTTTTGTTCCTCTTGATGATTCTTCGCTGCAGGCACTGAGCACCATGGTGCAAACACAAAACTGGCCACACAGAGGCACCTTCCTTCTGGTTTTCTTTGCAGCGTTGAACAGCAGCTGTGCTACACGGAGGAGGGTTTTTACCCAGAGTTCTCTGCTTCGGGCCTCCAGCTGACACGGTGAATGTCCAGACAGCCACACTTTAAGGCTTAAACTACGTGTTTGTAAATAAAAGCCACATTTAAAGGATGTGATGTGCGTCCCATCAGGTTCTGATGCCGTCGGACGTTTCCTGCGTTGATTCACGGCTCGTTCTGATTGGCTGGTGCACGTCTTTGATCTCAGACTAGCAGTTTTGGGTTTTGACCACTGATCTGAAGACCCTGGGTCTTCGCTGCTCGCTTGGAGGCCGATTTAACATAAATTTAACTCATCGATGCAGCTGGATCACAGAGATGTCATTAGTTTTTAACAAACGTTCTGTAGGTTCTGTTCAGTGTTGACTAGTTTGTCAGACGTTCTGATGCCCCTCGTATCGTTCATCCTTTACTCAGTTGGCAGAAAGTGTGGCGGTCGGCACAGACCGTCAGCAGGTGACCGGGTTCTGCTCGGTGGATGCATAGCTCTGACTGAAGGAATGCTACGCCACCTGGACAGCACAGTTTTCTGGTTCTTTTGAGGTGCAGATGGTTCGACGAGGACCGGGCTGAAGGACGATGTTAGAAAGAAAACACGTCTGAGGGTGAAGTCTGCAGGTTGGTGGGACGTGTCGCGCCTCTAGGAGATGATCTCCAGGATGTAGAAGACCAGCTCCATGACGACCGGACCCTCGGTCAGCTGACACGCCCCGCTGTGGATGACTGGGATCAGAGCGCTGTCCAGGTCACTCAGGTACTGAGGCAGGAGGGGCTGGCCGTTACTTCCTGCCAGGTACCCCACCTGTTGAGACAGAACGGTTTCATCTGGATCATTCTGCTGATCAACAGGACCGAGCTTCACTGTCCTCCTGCCCCTCTGGGTCCTACCTGGTCTGAGTCCAGTGTGACCCGCAGTCCCAGTTTGGCCATGCCGTCCTCCTTCAGCAGCTTCAGGTGAGGACACAGAGCCACGCAGAACGCTCGCGCCACTTTCTCCGCCTGCCGACTGTGGTCGGCCGGGTCGCTCAGTCCGTTTGGCTCGTCTTCACTTTGGAGGAAAAACACCTGAAGGAATCAGAACCAGAGTTTATTACGAGAAGAACAAAAAGAACGAGTACCGATTTGCTCTGAACGGGTTTATAATCTGCAAACTGCACAAATAAAAACTGGATTCAGAACTGTGATAAAAAGGTCACTCTGTTATTTCAGTCTTCATCTGCAGCGAGAAGAGTTCTGATGTGGAGCGTCGGGTTTTAGTTTAGCATCCGTTAATGGACCTGCAGCCTCCTGGGATGGAGGTTAAAACGGGTCAATGTTTGGTCCTGTGGGACCTGTGGGGCGGCCTGATTTCCTAATAATCTGCAGTAAGCTGAGCTCTGTGTGTGTGTTGTACCTCGGTCCAGCGGATGACTTTGCCGTTTGCTTTAAATTCAGAGCCGTGGAAGATCTTCACGCTGGTGACGGACTCCATCGATTTTCCATCGATCGGACTGATGACGCTGAAATGAAAAAACATTTTAACGACCGTTTCCAAACATGACGTAAAGTTTGCAGTAAAAACTACGAGCAGGAAGAAACCGAGGCGTGTGTCTGCCAGCTAAACTCATCAGAGGGTGCTGGAAATGAACACTACCGTTGAGCAAGGCACTGCTCTGACGGAGCATCAAAACTAAATAAATAAAAGCTGAAACTTTTTTTCTGTTAAACTTCTTGTCGGCGCAGTAAAAGAAATACACAGAAATAAATTTAAATCTTAAAACGTGGAAAAGCATCATTCCACAAACACTGAGTCTTTTTAAAAGCAGTACGAGCTCCAGCTGGTGGTGAACAGATTCTCACCCTTTGTTGAAGTTCTGGTCGTCTTCTGTCCACAGGACCTGAACGAGCTCCTGGTTCTCCTCCTGATCGGCTTTACCACAGGTGATGGTGAAGTCTTTCATGTCCCTCAGGGCCTGCCGTAGAGAGTCCATCGTCTCCGCTGTGATCTGGATCATCACTCCGTCTAAACGGAGGGAAAAGACTCGAACTGGTTTACTCGTCTCGGGTGGAGTTAGCAGGAAGTGTGCAGGACGGGCACCGAGACGAAACGATTTAAACTGAGGGGTTCGTTTAGAGCGAAAGTCTGAGCTTCTCAGAAACTGCTGCCCACATTTTGACTATCAGGTGTGTGGAAATCTGCTGCTGCAGCAGGGGTCAAAGGTCACCGGGGTTCTGCAACGCTTCGACTCTGCTGAGGTAAACAAGAACTCGTGACAAGAATCGACATAAAGACACTCAGTGTGACACAGTTGTGGTTTTTTTTCTGAATTTTGAAACATTTAAGAACAGAAAAAAGCCCAAGTTAATGTTTTCTTTAATTATTTCATCGATTAGATGAATAAATGACGATCTAAAGCTTCCAGTAAAAAGCTTTAAATAAAATAGGTGTATGAGGAAATATACATAACATTTCAGAGACATTTATAGGACAAATAATAACGTCGTCTTCTTTAGTGGTATTTCTCACAAGGTAAATATTACGAAGACGATTCTTGAACAAATACGACTCGTTGGACCATTTTTACGACCTCAAACACATCTCACCTTCCACGATGCTGGTCTTGGCCAAGAAGCCGGACGAGGCTTTCAGAGCCCCGCTGAAAACAAAGAAGCAGGCTCCAGTAACTGTCGGGGGTGGGGGGACAAAACAAACTGTTCAGATTCACAAAAGCAACTAGGAGGCGTTTGTTTTCAGGCAGATGGACAAAATAAACCAAAAACGGACTCGATGGGGGAATTACCGTAGTTTAAGGGTCAGGTAAGAAACCCAAAAGAGAAATCACCTTTCCGAGGCTGGTGGTGGATGCTGATGGCCTGCGTCTGATAGTTCCCATCGTCGTTCTGGACGCACACCAAATGTGAGTCGGCCTTGTCGTTGAAACACGCCCCCATGGCCAGCACGTGCTCGTTGGACTTGTTCATGGCCTTCATCAGCTGCAAGGACAAACAACGCACAGCAGGACGAATTAAAGCCGCCCTTTGGTTCTGCGCCGTGAGGAGCAGGTTCAAGAGAGGCGGTCTGGTTAAGCCCAATTGCCCCGGAGTGCTCGGTTTGAGCAGGGTGACACTGAGATGACAGACTGTAGGAGACGACTATCAGCAGCTGAAAGATTACTCGTGTTAATCCTTTCTCTGCGTCTCTTTGAAGTCACCCATCAGAAATAAAACTGAAAATCTGGAGGGCTTCAACCGCTCGCTGCGTTAAACGCTCGCCCGCAAGCTGTTGAGCAGCGTTTCCCTCTTCACGTTACCGTCTCCCCATCTGTTGCAGCATCAGCAGCCAAACTCGCTCCTCTCTGCTCTGACGCTCGTTCACACCTCGGAGGCTGAAACGTTTCACAAGTGGGCAGATTTCGGCTGCAGGGACACCGGAGAGCTTCTTATATATTCACAGGGACGCAGGAGAACGTGTGGACGTTCAGGGAGCTGCTGGGACCAGTCCGACAGAAAGTTGGGTCACCTCAAAAACCACAGCAGGACCATTTATTAACCACTGTGGAGTATTAAGACATATTAAAGTACGATCCAGTTCTGATGTGTGCGTCTGAGGATGAGGAAGGTACTTTTAGTCCTGGAAGTTGTGTGAAACAAACTTTAGTGAGGAACTTACTCGAGGCAGCTGAAAGTGTCATCATTTCAAATTATAATGTAAAACACTCTTGAGAGCACAAACCATCAAAACGACCTGTAGGGCAGCCGCATCAGTTGGTAACCATGGTAACCAGTCTGTGCATCTGACCGAGGACATTGTGTGCTGGAGCTTCATGCAGCAGCAGCAGCATCAGATATTTCATGAGATGTTTAATGAACCGAGTGATTTATTAAGACATGTGGCTGCAGGCAGCAGAAAATATGATAAAAAATATTACTAGAAATGAACTTGTTTTTTAAATCTGGGAACGCCGATACTGACGTAAGGACTAAACTATTCACCGCTGTGCTTCATTTTGTTGATCTGAAAACAGAGTAGATGACTTTATGAAATAAAACTCCTGATGAGTTCTTTCTTGGTGACGTAGTAAAATAAACATTTGGCTTACAGAGTGTTATAATATAAAAAAACGGTGAGGACATTTTAAAACTAATTTTCACTTTTTCCAGTTGATCTCTTTCGTTGCATAGGAGATTTTCAAAATAAAAGTCTACACTGACGAGTTATTCTTTTTCACAACGGCTCATTGAAACAGCCTCGTTTGAATCAAACATTTTCTCTCTGAGGTTAGTGGACCCAAAAGAAAAAAATAAGTTTTTATACTGCAGCGAGCTGATTAGAAGTCGTAATTTTTCTTATAAAAACTGATGTTACAACAGAGCAGGTTACAAGAAGTTTTGTTGTATGAGAACAACTTATTCTGAAACATTAATACATGAATAGCTTTAAAAATAGAAGCATAAATGGTCTAAAGGAATGTAAAATTATCTAAATAATAATAGTCAACATAATAATAACACTGGACTAATAAGTAATTTAGGATTACAAACACTGTCAAAGAATAGTGTGTTTAATTTTAGTTTTTTACGTGGTATAGACCTACAGACGTTTGTTTAATCAGTGAAATATTTTTTTAAATTGTGATCATTTGTAAAATATTGTGTGACTTTCAGTGCAAACAAAACCTCAAAGTGTTTTCTGTTTATTTTTTTGACATTTAAAAAGTGGACTTTCCTTCTTTCTTTCAAAAACTTCTCCTCAAATCGGAACAAACTAAAGTGCAAGGATGTGATCCGGCTCCTTCTGAACCGATAACTGCGGTGAGGAGTTAGAAACAGAAATAAAAGACGCTCACCTCGTTGTAGCGGTTGCTGGGGATCTTGATGCTCGTCTTCCTCACCTCCATGTCCACAACCAGACCCTTCACCACCGGCAGAGTATACTGGTAGTTACGGAAGTCCTGAACCATTATGAAAGGACATTTCTTTAAGTTACACATCTTGAGTTTCTAAAACAAAGCTACTGTCATAATGTAGAAATTTTAAAAATGTAAAGTTACTTCCTTGCTTTGTGATTTTATTCAAATACAAACAGGCTGCATATAAACATCAAAAATGAGTTTTAAGCAGTTTCCCCCCCACAAACTCTTCGACCTGGTATTAAAAAACTAAAACAAATTTAAAAAGCTTTTACCGCAAGCAGATTCATGATTGTGTGACCCATCTCTCCAAAAAGGGGTTTTCTGAAACGAACGCTGAACAGTGGACACGGATAAACTGTGGAAGCAAATATATAGCAATTAAAGAATTGCTGTGCAGCCGGAAGGATTTTTACTGAAACTTTTTTAGTTTTGGACATTTGTTATGATGCGTAACCATGGCAACAAGGCAGTTTTCTACAACAACAGCAGCTGATGAACATCTCAAAAGCTCAAATAATATCTCAGCTACAGCCCCAAATCTCAAATGAGTTGAAAGGATGTTCTGTGGATGCATTCTCATCTACCCGCCAGCTGTGCTCGAGTGCCTGACCACTGGGATCCTGGAACTAGCAGGACACACGGCTCATGACAGTGGAAGGACAGGATCGTCCCTCAGCACCTACAGCTGGCTGTCTGCAGCAATGAGGAGCTCAGCAGCTGCTGGGAGGAGTGGCCATCACTCTCGGAGGAGTTCTGCCCGGCATTCAGGCGGTCCTACAGCCCATGGGAACTGAGAGACCAGCCGAGTCTGCGTGGACGGCTCAGACGGCATCTGCAGCCAGTTTCTTAGGATCCACTGTGGGATGGACCTTTACAACAGATCCTTCCTGCCTACAGCCATCAGTATCTATAACATCTCTTAATGAAATGAGGATAACGAGTTACAACAACAAATAATTTCCCTCTGGGATTAATAAAGTATTTTTGAATTGAATTGAATTGAATTAAAAACACAAAGAATGAACTTTATGTCGACTTATTCAGCTGTCCCAGATAAATACATCACATTAGATGGTGGCTTTACTACAAAGCATTATTAGAATGGTTGTACAATTATATAAGAAACAATTAGAACTTTTAATTGTTTAAACATTCAAACAATTAGGACATTAATTGTTTAAAGTGGAATTGAACTGAGACTAAAATGCAGTGAACTGCAGTGATTCAGGAGAAACGCTTCTAATTTACAAGTAAAAATACAGCTTATTTTTCCTTCGGCTACTAAAGCTTCTTAAACGACTATTTTCAGCTTCATGTCAGTCATCAGCTGAGAAAAAGATCACTGTAAACTTTCATCAGCAACATTAAAAGTCATCTTGGTCTGAATCTGCAGGTCGACAGCTCACCCCTCTGCCGGTGGGGCCTTAAAGAGTTCAAGCAGTTTGTTCTGTGGATTAATTTAACGTTGACGCAAACGTTTTGTGTTGAAGAGCTTCGGCTGAATGTTTCATCTGCAGCTGTTGGATGCAGGAAAGACTTAAAGCGAGCCGGCAGGTCCGACTGTGAAGAAAGAGGATTCTGATAAAACTCACACGAGCTTTTCTGAGAAGAGGCAGGCTGCTGGGACGTCCACCGGCCAACTCTGACAACTGACTACACTCTCGTATTTATTCTGAAAGTTTGGATTTTACCAGGAAATAAAAGTCTTTGTCATGACTCAACCTGGTGGTGTTATAGTTTTATGTTCTGAAACGTTTTATCTGTTGAAGTAAAAATGTTGGCAGTCCAGTTGCACCGAGGTACAAAACATAAGAAGATCTCAAAATCTCTCGTTTGGCAGCTCAGAGTTCCCAGATGAACCTCAGGTCTGCGCTGTACGTTTTGTAAAAAAAACTGTTCTTTTTGTCTAATAACGCTGCTTGGTTTGCCAAATATTGGCTTTACTTTGTTAGTTTGAATGTTTTCCACAAGACTGGTGTGTTTTCTGTCAGTTTGGCATAATTCAACTCCTGTTCACCTGACTTCGTTCACTTTTCCACTTCCTGTTTATTTGTGGAGGTGAGTCTTACAAGTATGCAGTGCTATTAGCTCAATATGCTTTTATTTGTTCAACAAACCTCCAGTGTATAATCACAAAAAAAAAAAAAAGGATCAAGATACTTGAACAGGTTGATTAATCTCAGATCTTAGAGATGTTTGTTTGTTGATTTTTTTTTTTGCTTTTCTCTCATCGCTGATAGTTTGAGCCACAGCGACTACACTGTACGATGCTCTGCGTGCATCTAAACTCACATCGGTACTCTGCTCCCAGCCGCAGCATGAGACGGATGGGGAAGACTTTGGCCCAGGGCGTCTCCCACTTCTGGATGAGGATGCCGAAGAGGTAGGGAGGGTTTGGCAGCAGCAGGTCCTGCAGCGACTGGAAAGAGGGGCTGATGTAGAGGAAGCCGCCGTGCTCCTTGCTGCCCAGGAAGCTCTGCGTGAAGAACGAGTGACTCAGGTGGCTCAGCATGTTGCCTTGTGGAGATGAAGGGGAGAGAGAAAAGAACAGGATTAGCAGACAAGAGGAAGTGCAAAGGACTTATTATTCGTACGGGAGTTCGATGGCTTCAGACGCACACAACACGACTCTTATGACAAGTAAAAGCTGGGACTTGCTAGAGGCAGCACTTCTTGCTGAGCGCTGACTGATGGCGACTTAATCAGGATCAACACACACAATACGACTGCCTTCCACCAGGCTGACACTGCTGAGTGAGAATATGAAACGGGAAGTGGCCTGAGGGGGGTGAACCATCAGTCAGATGATATTTGCTGTTTTTGTTTTGCAGCATACGGAGGTAAAAGAGGACGAGCGGTGGCGTCACGGAGCCGTCACTCAGCAGGATGCTAACGTTTAGTGTTGTTTTTACCACTGAGGGCCTCCTGGTAGAGCTGCACGAAATGGGTGAAGATGTCCTTGGGGATGGTCTTCTCGTCAGGTAGACACTGAAGCAGAATGACGACCTCCGCTTGGCCCACAGCGTGCATCCCTTTAGTCGTCACATACCAGCACTTCCTGTTAACGTCTGTGGGATTAAAAACTCATCATTCATTTACACCACAGACCTCACACATTTTTACACGAAGACGAGAACAACAGTTTGCTTTGAGAACGCAACAAAACTAGAATTTTCTAACTCAAAAATTATTTTCTTTGGATAAAAAGCATCAAATTATTGTTTTTACTTGAATTATGCTTCAAATTTTTGTTCAAACTGCTAAAATAATTAACCAGAGCCATAAACTTGGTAAATGATCCGATTCAGAAGCTGCACCACCATAAAATAAATAAAATAAAAAACTAAGTTATTGTTTTCTAATCATTTATTTGGCATTAATAATGTAGTTTGTAATTTAATGTAGCTTACTAACCAGTCATTACAAAGAGACGGCAAAGATGAAAATGGTTTTTCCAGATGTAGTTTTTTTTTCTGTCATTTTGGCTCAGACACAACAGATTTATATAGAAGTCATTATTTTAGTTGAATTCAAAACAGTAAACAAGTTTGATCAGCAGTTATTTAAATATCTAATTCCTCTAAACAGCTGATGTGAAGTCAAACCACTTAGCCACAACATATGAACAGGGTTGAACTGATTCAGACATGCTCAGTCAACAGAAAGCAGTAAATATTGAAGAGACTAATCTGTGTTTGAAAGTAAAACAAACGATAGTGGATGTCTAACAGTTCACGCTACAAATGACTATGTTACAAATTATTTTGTAATAGAAAACAAATACTCCTAAATTCATCTTTAGATACAAAAGTGCCGACAAATGAACGATGCAAACGGGACTCACAGTTGACGAGCTTGACCATAGCCAGCAGGTTGGCGTTGAGCACAAAGACCAGGGGGTCCGGGCCCCCCTCCTCCAGCTGCTGCATGACGACGATCTCCGACGGCCTCTCCTCCACAGCGTAATCTGCAGGAGATTTAGAGCGGCGCAGAAAAAGAGACGGGCAGAGGGAGGAATCAGAGAAACCGTTAAGAGGGAAAACCAGATTTGAGACACAGAAGCAGGAGGAGGAGAAGATGGTCAACTTAGTGAGCCAAGTGTAGAAAGTAAGGTCGAATTAGCCAGCAGGAATTTTTCCCACAATTAAAATATCACCAAAGCACTCCCATGTGCCAAACTTCTCCCCTTCTGTTGGCAATGAGTGGTCAAAACACGGGCGGTGACACAAAGCCGGCTAAACGAACACAAACACAGCAGCAATGAGGAGGCAGCAGAATGGTGAGGATGAGGGCAAGCACCTGTGATGTGGCCTCCCGTACCTCCTTTGACTCCGGTGGAGATGAGGATGGGAGGGAGCCCGTTCTCCGGGATCAGGCTGACCGAGCTGCCCACGGGGCTGCCCACCGGGGCGACGGGGGTATGGGCTGCCTGAGGGGTGGAGAGCAGAGGCGTGTGTGGGGGGTGGAGTTAGGTGTACTGTAGGTTAAACACACAGATGTAATAACTCAGCAGGATTAAGAGTTCCTGCTGGAAGCTGTGGCGATGAACACAACAGGCTTGATAACCGTAGTTAAAACAAACCAGCAGCACTTTATTTAACCAGATAAACACAGACTCCATGTAATTTAAAAAAAAAAGAAACAAAACTGGTTTCTGAATCCACCAAAGAAATGTCACATTTAGGTTTAGTAATGTAATAAATGAACTGAGGTCAAATAAAGTGGCTCGCAATAAACTTAATTTTGTAAATTAGTCGCATCATCTTTTAACTTACGGCCTTTGCTTTAAAAATCTAAACTTGTCCCGTCACGTTCTCTTACAAGCAGGCAACGTTAGATATTTATATTTAAAACATCAGTACTGAAAAACAACAAGCGTTTACCTTCTAACTTCAAAACTCACTTTTAAAACTTCTTTTGTTTTCGCAGCTTTAATATTTGTTGATTGGTTCTCAAATATTAAACTAACATTTATGAAATTGTGAACACTGAATATGTATAAAATAAATAATAATTTTGCAACAAATTTTCACTCGGATCAGTCGGAGTCATCGTGGGCAGCTCCATCCCATCGCCATCTGTTCTCAGTTTTATTTATTTATTTCACAGCAGCCTAGAGCTGTATTTTGATTTCTGCACTGGAGCTTTCCTATGAAAAAAAAAAGTATAAAAAAAGTTAAAAAGTATATGCATTTATGATAAATAAATATAAACACCAATCCAAGTCTGCTCATCATCAATTGTAAATATGTAGAAGTCAGTGAGACTGCAACTGAAAATTTGCCCCCAGCTGGTCTCTAACAGTTACAGCTCAGTGTGTACAGCAGTCCCTCGTTTATCACTGGGGAGCCGTACCCTGAAGACCCGCGATAAGTTGGCTCTTGTCTGTTTAGTTATCACACCCACAGTTTCTATTCTTTTTAGTTCTGCTTCAGTTTTGTCCTCAAGAGCAACAAGCACTTTTCTGGGAGCATGAACTACTGGAGCGATGTCTGGATTTGTCTGAATGTGGTACTTTCCTGGTACGCAGCCTAATCCAGAAAATAAATCCTCATATTCACTCAGACTGTCGTCCTGTTTTTCAAGTGCATGTAGTCTCCTAACAAGTCCCGTTTTTTTCACTTGACTCTCCTCCAAGAATCGCAGGTGCATTATTTTTTATGACCTCAAATTCTAGATCATTCTTTTTATCTTTATACTGACATGTCCACATAATGTTTCCTTTTGGTGTAATCTGATGGCCTGCATAAGCAACAAGCTTAGCATGTGATGTGCTCACCTGTTGATCCAATCTCAGCTTTCCGAGGTCTTTCATAGAAGCATCATTGCAATCAGCTCCAGTATCCAACCTGATTTCCAAAACTTTCTTGTTGACAATCAGATCTTCATGCCATTTTTCTGCCTTGGTTACAGTCATGTTAGATTGTGATGCTGTGTGAATGGAACCAATAAAGAATTCCTCCTCTTCAGCTTCGGCCTTATTTATATGATGCACCTTCGGGTTGTTGTGCTTGCATAATTTGCACATTCTTGCATAGTGATTTTTCCCGTGACAAGCTTTACACACTTGTCCATAAGCAGGACATTTCCTTGGATCGTGCTTATAGCCACATCTTGTGCAGTTCCCTTGATTCCTCACATTTACACTCTGTGCTGTAGCTCCACTGTCTCTCTGTTTATCATATTGTTTTTTCTTTGTGACTTTATTAACAGGGATTTCAGCCGCCTCATGTAGACTTTTTAGCTGACTCCGGCTGCACTCACTGCCTCTGCAAATGTCTACTGCTTTCTCCAGAGTGAGATCAGGTTCGCTTAATAATCGTCCTTTTACTTGATCATCAGAGATTCCACACACAATTCTATCTCTTATCAGCGAGTCGGTGAGGGGCTCAAACTCACAGTCTTTGGCTTTATTCTTTAAATCAGTCACGTATGAATCAATAGTCTCTGATTTACCTTGCACTCGAGTGAAGAACAGGTGCCTCAAATAGGTCACATTTTTCCTTGGTTCACAATACTTGTGGAACAGCTCTTTCAGTTGACCGTAGTTATCAGCGTCTTCAACAAAATCAAAGGTGTTGTATACCTTGATGGCTTCATCTCCAGCTACATACAGAAACGTGGCTCTTTTCACTGCATCAGATTTTTCCTCAATTCCACTGGCAACAAGGTATAGTTCAAATCTCTGGATCCAGACTCTCCAGTTTTCTGCTAGATTTCCTTCTAGACTTAATGAGGTTGGAGGCTTCATCTGCTCCATTTCTTTCATTTGCAAGGTTAATCCACTCTCTCTTTGTCTTTTACCGTCCTTGTCTTTCACTCCTGACACCATGTAACATACAGTATCACGAGACAGACGTTATGTTTGGGAGACAACGCCCTTTACGTCATCATTCAGGTAACAACACAGTGCCACCTACTGGCAATGCAAAGTAATTAACTTGTCTCAATACAGTAGACATCACACTTGAAATATTCTAAACAATGTTTCTAAACTCTAAACACTCTAAAAGAATATAGAATGTCATGATTTCAGCTATTTGCCATGGCTGCACTCTGCCACTGCAATTGGCCACGCCCACTTCTCTGCTGCAGAGGCGAGATCAGCTGATCAGCTGCAGGAGGAAGCTTTTTCTGCAGCTGTAGGTTGCACAAAGGTGCAGCAGGTGCAAAATAATTTAAAATAATTTATTTTAAATAAAAATCCCATACCGATCGTGCAGCTCATCCATCAATCAGCCAATTGTGTGTCATGTCCAATCTTATTTTGAAAAACTTCAATAGCGAGAGTACACGAAAAACGAACCGCCAAGTAGCGAGGGTCTACCGTACTGCCTTAAACAAGACTACCGGTATATTTTATAAAGTACAATACACCACCCTGGGAATGAAAATTAATTTAAAACAAGTTTTCAAAGATACTAAATAAAGATAAAAGCAGAGTCCTTGTAGTCCCCAGACTTCCATAGAATCTCACTTCTTTTTAGAACTCCATGTTTAAGGAGGGTTGCTTCGTTTTCCAGAGCCTGAGGTCTTAAATAAAGAAGAGCTTAATGAACAAACAGAGTTCATTTCAAACTCTGCATTACCGCTTTGTGAGAAAACTTCCAGAATTAGTTCACCTACGTGATGTCGCTTGAGATATTTTGTCAGATTTGATAAAGCACCTCTAGAGCAGAATGCACCACTCAGCTGTTTTCATGAGCTGAGGTGGACGCCACGTGGCTAATAAAACATAAAGCCGATGGGGTTATTTTCAATATTACTGATCGCTCAAAGTTTCTCAGCAGAACTTCGTGAGGCCATCGGAGACTAAATCATCCGAGAGAATTACTCTCTTCACCAGACAATGAATCACCCCGACAGCCGGCGTTGTCACTACTAACTGCAAATAACTAAATTCACTTTAATGTTATTTACTTATTTAAAGAAAGCTTTGCTGTACTTTTTTGGGCTTATTGGTAAACCAGTGAGTACAGAACGTTCCAGCTTTAATCTTTTTAGTGTAGGCATTTCTAATTCTCATCACTCCACAAGGATACAGTCCATAACTCGGCCAGCAAACCATTAAGAATCCTTCAGAAACAGTTACTCCTCATTGATCTGCACAGCAGCTAATGGGAACATACATACAGACAGAATGGCACTAGTTGGAGCTGAATGCTTTTCATGCCACGCTCACCTCTGAAGAATCGGACGTGGAGGATTTATGTGAAAATGTGGAGACGGCTTGCGACTGAGAGGGGGCTGAGCTGGAGGCGGAGGGTTTGGAGGACTCTGCTGTGTCCCTGTTAGGCAGGACTCCATCAGCGAACCACACCCTCCTCTGGTCCCGTGAGACGGAGCCTAAAAGACAACACCTAGTCTATTAGTTCTTACTGGGGCAAAATGACACTGCACAAGGTGGGAAATAAAGTGTTTTCTATTCTTGTTAAAGGTCATACCCTCATTGCCAGGCTGCTTTAGGACCCCCACAGGAACCATGACAGTGGGAGGGGGCGAGCTGAGCACCCCGGAGGCCTGAGCCTGCTGTAGAGGGGGGATGGTGGAGCAGTATTCTGCTGGGTTGTTGGGGTTTGGACTCTGATTGCTTGCAGCAGTTGGCGTCTCGTATGACTGAGCTGTCAGCAACAAAACAAATCATCAATTAAAATGACAAGAATCCACGTGTATCAAAAATACACAACTGTTCAGTGATGCTACAAATAAGCATGTCTTGGGTTTCACAGGCTCTGTCAGAGCTGGTATTTTGATTTGTTAAAACCTACACTGCACTCTTGATGCTCTCTTTTATACCATGCAGCTAAAATTATTTGTTGCTCATTGGGTGATGTTGCTGTGATGCGAATCAGATGCAGATGTGCATCCGGTGCTCACCACTTGTCAGGGCGGAATGACAGGTGACACAAACACGAGCCTCCTTCTTGTCCATGTACACCAGCTTACACTTCAAACTGCAACACGTTGCACAGAACACCTTAAAAATAACAGAGAAACATTCAGTCCACAAACGCATTCATGAAGAGCTTTTGCAGTGTTTTATTGTATTTGCGCCTCTTTGTGAATCATTATCGACCAACGTGTACTTGGTAAATGATTTGAAACAGAATGGAGCCTCACAGCCCATAATCTGCTTCATGGAGCTCGGTCTCTGGCTGCGCGTTCGTCGAGGATCATGCTGTGCCGATTGTTTGCAGCCTCAGTGCAGGTGTTAGTATTACTGCAGTGCCAGCTCCTCCCAGCTCAAGTGGCAGTGTGAGAGGGTTTGTTTACCACCATGGGAAATTAAGGAGCACTCCGACGGTTTTCCAGTGCCGTGTCAGCGACCACATCTTCCATTTACAGCACTGTGCAGATATCCTACACGTGTGGGTGGCCGTAAAGCTACACGCGCACACCCGAGCCTGTCTGCAGGCGAATGCCTACAGAGAAACCCACCTATCAAAGCCCTGCATTAGATTAACCTCCTTCATCCAATAAAGTAACTGATGAAACTTGAAAATATAAATACATTTTTAGTTTTATAGTCATGTTAGCCTTTTATGAAGTACTTTTACTGTTTGCGAGTTAAAGTCGTCTCGATAAAGCAGCACAGCACTGACCTTCCCGCAGGCCCTGCAGTGGTGCCTCCTCTTGGTGAAGGTGAACTTGACGTCACATTTCATACAAACGGGGGCCTGGGAGTCAGGCACCCACACAGGAGCGACCTCTCCCAGTGAGCCGGTGCCCTTCTTGCAGAGCGCCCCCTGCTGGCCGGCCTGGAGGTCATTGTCTGGGCTCTCTGAGGACACCAGAGATGAAGAGTGGACACCTCCGTCCCCGTTCACGCTGACAGAGCTCTGAACAGTCCCGCTGGATGCCGGCTCAGTCGGAGTGCCCTTTCGACACTGGTTCTCGAGGTTCTTGTTCTTGCTGACTGCAGATTGGTCGAGCTGGTTCTGGACTTGGCCCGACAGCGGCTGCGGGATCTGAAGTTTGAGGCTGACTGGCAGTTTTGGTCGTGCCCCTCCATAGGGAACACTCACAGGCTGAAGCCGGCTGTTGTTCGTTTTTGGTTGGATGCTACTTGACCCCACTGCTCCACCATCACTCGCCTCTTGCTTGCTCTCCTCCATTTCTTTCTCCTCAGTCACAGAGTCCTCCTTGGAGGGAACAGGGGAGGGAGAAAAGTCCTCCTCTTTCTCCTCAGTTTCCCTAAACATGAAGCTGCTCCCATGTTCCACCTCCAAACCATTAGGAAGGACATTTATTCTGATGAGCTGATTGTTTAGTCCAGTTTCATCAGCTCTTCTTTCCTTCTCCTCCTCCTCCTCCCTGCATGGAAGAGACACACCATTCTCATCCATCTCACATCCAGGCAGAACAACTTTATTCCTACTTATATTTTCGTCCTGGTCCTCTTGTGAATTTACAGTTTGTCCTTCTTGACTGAAGTCCTGTAAAACAGCTGCACAGCTCTCATCTTCAACATGTTCTCCGTTCTGCACTGCAGGAGACACATCTGGGTGGACATTCCCAGGAATCTGATCCTGTGCCAACTCTACCTCAAACGTAAAGTGAGAGCCTCCTCCTCCGGCCGAGGCAGGCATCTCTCCAGGTGTACCCTCCTGGGCAGAGACACCAGTCTGTAGGTCTGTAGGAGAACTTCTGTCTTTAATGAACCCATCCAGCTGTGGGCAGCCGTTTTCCACGGCACCACAGGCTAACACTGGGGGTGGCGAAAGGTCGTCTGTGCCCACCAGCTTGCCGATGTTGGGCTGGGGGAGAGGTGGGCTGTAAACGTCCGCCGGCCTCTCCTCCGTCCAGGATGGAGGTTCAGGCCCCAGCTCTCTTTTAGAGTCGTCTCCTAGAGAGGAGCTGGATGAGGTGTCAGGGAGGGTCTTGTAAGGAAGGGGGCTCTCCCTGGGACTAAGGTCTGCGTGCGTCAAAGCAGGATTCAAAGAGAGCATGTGGGCCGGTGGGGCCAGGATCTGGGTCCACTTGGCATCTGAGAGAATCGACGTGTCTGTCTCATCTGTTAATACAAACGAAAAGAAAAAATGAATGACGGAAAAATATTTCTATGCAGCCAACACTGATTTTTATTACAAATTAAACAGCTGAAATTTTTATCATTTCACAATCTTTGGGAACAACCAGTTAAGATACTCTGAACTAGGGTTGGACGATATAGCCAAAACTTTCATCACGATATATTTCTTAATTTCGGTCGATAGCGATATAATTCCGATATCGATATAAACAACATAAAAGCCTCCGAAAAACTGTACAAATAAATTAATGTTCACCTTTTTATTTGTATTTAGCCTTCAAAGAAATTTGAAATCACCATCAAATAAACATAAAACTCTCAACTTTGTCAATATTAATAGTTATAACTTTAAACAACAGCATAACCTCAACTGCTGCATGTGTTTCTCTTTTGATACAGCTGGGGGAGTTGTTTCAGGGCTCAAACTTTTATTGTGCTTCATCTTCTGACTCTCAGCATATTCCATCAAGTGGAAACGTGGAACAAGTTAGATGTGTTCCCACCACTAGTTTGAACGACTCTCCGGCACATTGTGCAGCACAAACCTGCAGTTTATCGGATCTTAGATAACCGAACCACTTCCACACCACCGAATTAGTTTTTCCTCTCATCATTTATATCATCTGCTTTCTCTTCAGTTGTGAAAGCTTGTTCAGTCACATTCTGACGGTCATGGGCACTCATTTTGAAGTGAAAACTTACCGCGCGTTGGAGCTTTAGCCTAGCCTGCTACCGCTAACTCCTTCGAGCTGTGGTGTTTGCCCCACAGCATGGTGTGTCACGGCTTTTTCTGTTTGGGTTGAAACTGAAGCGGCAGCTTCAACCCGAACAGAAAAGAAATGCGTCAGTGAAACACTGTAATCATAGTGTAATGTATATCGAAATATTGAAAATGTGCTTAAAATTCATATCACCGTTATTGAATAAAATTATATTGTGATATATATCGATGTCCAGCCCTACTCTGAACCAAACGCAAAGACACACCCTCCCTGTGAACAGAGCTAAAGATGGCTTAAACAAACCAGTGGATAAATCAAGAGATGAGGTTGGTTTAGAGTGGAAAATTAGTATGTCAATGAACATTTAAAAAAAATCTAAGAAAATGGGCCAAATGGCTCATGATACCTCAGGAGAAATCAGACTGACAAGCTGACACACTAATGCCATATGATAAGACTGAAAATTCTTACAGTACTGACACACTGCTGTTCTCCCTCCACTGTAATTCACAGTAAGCTGTTTGTGGTGTACTGAGTCTTTGCACACACAGTTAATCTGCCAAGCTGGATCTCAGGCTGAGGGCTTGGATAATCACACCCAGTCAAAATACACACTGAGCTAAAGTTACCTGTGTGTCTAAAAAAAAACACACCAAAAGAAAGAATCAGCAGGACTGGCATTTTTTCTGGGGGTTCATCTTACATTATTCCAGAAAAAAGCAGTTTTTCCTCAACAATCAGGAAGTCAAGTCTGCAGTATGCACATCGCAGTGCTGCAGAGTTTACTTGCAGTTACTGTAAATAAAACTACAAAACAAATTCTCTAAAAAAAAACAAACCCAAATACAGTTTCATACTTATTGTGAAAGGTATGTTCAGAGGTCGACCGATCAATCGATCAGCCAATACATTTGACCAATTTCTGAGCGTCGATGAGCATGTTTCATGCCCATGTGTACGAAGCTGATTAAAAGGCAGGCACATTTGTGGGCAGCACAGTGTTGTTACTTAACACTGCAGCCTTGTGTCAATCAAACAGCTCCTTCAGTGACAAGGTTTTCTCTCATGACGGGTACTTTTTTAAAGAACAAGCAGACCCCAAAACATGTCACGTATTAGATATGTAACAGGGAACATGTTAACAAAAGACCAGTCTCTTGTCTTGCACCCGCCACACAGTTATAAGACCACAGGCAATAGAAAACCCAATTAGTCTAATTTCTGCTTGCTCCCAAATCACCTCCTGTAAATGTTACTCGTACTTGATAGGTGGAGGCCTGATTGTGTGACACTTGGGTTGTTTTTTTCCACAGAGGTGACATAATCAGCCCACGCCTCGTCTGTGACAATGACATCTCACAGTCTTTAGTCAAAGCTCACCTTCGTTCTGCTCGAACTCGTCCAGCACCTTGTCCAGGTTGAAGGCCTCGGCCTGGAAGTAATTCTCCATGGGTCAGGAAACTCCACCCTGCCGACGGCCGTGTGACCCTAAAATCAGGAGGAACCGATTCTAAAAGACAATTTGTCTCATTACATTCCTGTGTGTAGATGCTCTCAGTAGACTTATTCAAAGCTTGCTCTGATATAAAGTTTGTCCATTTTTCATACTTCTCATTTCCTTCCAGTCTTGTGTAATTACTCAAGAGGTCAAGGAGATGACAGAGAAATATGGTTATGATCAAAGTCATTTTTGGAATTAAAAAGCTCCCTGAGTGAATTAACCATCTAAAAGTACCCTAAGAGGAAGGATGAGGTGTTTTTCCTCCTTTTATCTCTGTTGGAAATGATCACCGTCACATTTTCTGCAGCAAAACTGAAATAAAAATGATATTAAGAGGGAAATAACAGTTTTTGTTACAGATTTTTCAGCATGCCAATTCCATTTTTGATTAAACAACAATATATTGTTTAAACTGATGATCATATTAGATAAATTGTATAATTTTTATCTAAAAATAATATTTCAACTCTAAATGACAGTAAAGGTAAGTTATTAAACACTCAAACTAATACGCAGTAGTATGGTATTTTTTCCAAAAGATAACTCATTGTACGTTCTCATTTGTGTCTACATTAACAACCGAAACAGTAAAATATCATGCAAAAATCCAAATGACGAGCTGATTTGCAGCTAAAGATTATTATCTGTACTCGCTGTACAGAAACAGGCGAATGTCAGCATCTCAATGACAAGTGAATGAACTGCTTTATAGTAACTTAACTGTGTTCGTATTTCTCTATAAACTCAAGGACAATGCTGCATAAACAGTTAAAGAAATTAAAAGCTTCTTTTTCAGCGAGTCCTCACCTGCACAGCAGTCCTACTCAGCAGGCCCTGGTGGTAGATTTTGCTCTGCGGGTTTCCCTTTCAGTTCCAACTTCACCCAGTCTGGCAGTCACCCAGCGCCCATACCTGAGACACAAGAAAGGAAAACACCTTTCAGTTAAGACAGATTTCTATGGTGCCATTGGAGAGCAGAAAACAAGCGCCCCCAGTTTGATCAGTCAGAGCGTTAAAACTACTGGCAGGTGTGTGGTGATCCAACTGGAGCCTGGTTTTTGCATGAAGGCATCTTTTTTGCATCATTCACTTACTGAAAGGAACCCCTCCCAACCCCCCGGTCAGGACAATGCACTCTGTCCACACTGCAAAACCTGCTCAAGAATTGCTCAGCAAACACACCAATGAGCCAAAGGCGTTGACCAATCCGATAAAGAAAAACAGGAATGCAGCTCGAGGCCCCAAAGGCCCCATCAGCAACCCAGACAGGAACCAAAGCATTTACTTTTCTTACATTTTACATACATTTTATACGCAAAATAGTCACTAACCAATGTGCATCATCCACTAATTACAATGCTGCATTTATAGATTTTAATTAAAAGTGATCCTGATTCATGAATCTTGCTAGCTGCTTAAAAAAAAAAATAAGAATGACCATGCAAAATAGTTAGGGAGGTGGTTTTAATGTTATGGCTGATTAGTGCATTTCAAGAAAGTTGAGACTACTTATATGAAATATTAATTTATGCGTGTGATCTCTTGCTTTGTGTCCAATGTGTCTACACTGCTGTTTTATATCGTATAGATTTTCATGTTCATTTGTGTACAAGTAGATTAAGTCTATGTAATATTTCTATAACTTATTTATATTACTATTGTATTATTAATAATTATTTCACAGATGGATTTAAAATGTATGAAAAGTTCAATTTACGGTGGCACAACTGGTAGAGCTGCTGCCTCTCAGCGAGCAGGTCCCTGGCTCAAATCCCGGTCCGGGGGTCTTTCTGGGTGGAGTTTGCATGTTCTCTCCGTGCATGCGTGGGTTTTCTCCGGGTGCTCCGGTTTCCTCCCACAGACCAAAAACATGCATGTTAGGCTGATTGGAAACTCTAAATTGTCCCTAGGTGTGAGTGAGAGAGTGAATGGTTGTCTCATTTGTCTCAATGTGGCTCTCTGATGGACTCGAGACCTGTCCAGGGTGTCCCCCGCCCCTCGAACAGTGATTTCTGGACATGGGCACCGGCGACCCCCGTGACCCAAAATGGAAGAAGCGAGTAAAAGATAATGGATGGATGGATGGATGAAAATTTCAATTTGTTTTGTCAGTCCTTTCAGAAAATGAAAGTCATCGATTCATTACAGAGTGAAATATTTCAAGATTTTATTTCTTGTAACTTTGATTATTCAATTCAATTCAGTTTATTCATAAAGCACCAAGTCACAACAGGAGTCATCTCAAGGCACTGAACAGAAACATTCATATACATAAAAAGTAAGCGAACACTATTTATCTGAGGAGCAGACTGCTTTGAGTTCAACTTCATCGCAGACTCCTAGATTATGTCTCATTACATTACAGACAATGAAAAAACAAAATTCAGTGTCTCATAAAATCAGAATATTCCACAGTCAGCTGTTGGTCCCTTTGTCAGTGTGGTCAGGAGTCAAGTCCTGCTGGAAAATGAAATCAGCATCTCCATAAAGTCTCTGAAATGTCCTGGTGGATGCTGCGTGGACTGTGGACTTCATGAAACACAGTGGACCAACACCTGCAGAGGACATGGACCCAAAACATCACAGACTGTGGAAACTTCACTCTGGACTTCCATGGATTCTGGACCTCTCCACTCTTCTTCTTCTAGACTCTGGAACCTTGATTTATAAATGACGTGAACACGTACTTTCATCTGAAAAGAGGACATCGGACCACTGAGCAACAGTCCAGTTCTTTGTCTCCTCAGCAGGTAAGACGCTTCTGATGTTGTCTCTGGTTCAGGAGTGGCTGGACTTGACGACTGAGACATCTGCAGCTCGTCCAGGAATTAATCAGCTGAGTAGGGTGTGACATCACAAGTGTCTATTGAACCTCTTCACAAAATCCTAATTTTCAGAGACTCTGAATTTTGTTTTTTCATTATCTGTTAGTCTTAATCATCAAAACTACAATAAAAGCTTGAAATATTTTACTCTGTGTAATATACGAGTTTTACTTTCTGAAGTGATTGACAAAAGAATTTAACCTTTTCATGATGTTGTAATATTTTTAGATGCACCTGTACAGTCTTTGATAACTGTCCAACTTTGATGTTAAATTTATGAGATGTTGAGATCCAATTAGAGCTGATGGTTTTATGGCGAGTTGCAGTATTTTATTTAGTAGGTTTTTTTTTATATTTCTTCTAATTCTTTGCTTTTAATTATTGCCTTAACTTTTTTGTTTTAAAGTACCGTAGTAAAGCTCTTCTGTTCTTTTTATGCGCTTTAGAGATAAAATTGAGATTGTCACTTATTTCTCATTTGCTGTAACGAAACAAATTTTAAGATGTTTGGGACACTACAGCTTACAGACGCCCTACAGTCAGCTCATCCTGCGCATTGCACACTCGTCACCAGCCAACCTCAACAATCAAGAGTCGTGAATGAGAAATGAGTGAAGGTTGAATCCTGCCCAGACCGTCCTTGATCACGAGGCCTTGGAGTCGAGACGTGATGTGCAGCAAATGAGTAACGGTCGGGCTGATCTTTAGGGTCATTTTCATAAAGATGAGAGCGAACATAGACCAAATGGGGTGACGGCCTCCAAGAGACGAGTAGCTTCAACAGCTTTAACGCCAAGTTTAGGAGGAAAAAAAGAACAGGACAGAAGCAAATCAAACTATCCATCGCACAGCTTATCCACGGACTTAAACTGAAGAATACAAGTGTAAACTAAAAAAAGACTTCTTTTGATCCAAACGGCCCACAGATCATATGAACAGTTCTCCAGGTGAAATGCTACAAACCAGATCCTGATGAAACATCTGAATAAACAAGATATACACAATAACACAAGATACTTAAAAATAAAGAAAAAGAAAACACGCAGGTTATTGTGGACTAGAACTTGTTTTAAAGACGCCTGCAAGAAAAAATACCAGTCAAATAAATGACTGTGAATATGATTTAACAAAACATTCTGATGGTGAGATGAGCTAGAATTTAAAACCGCCACACACACACTTACGTTCGGTGAATTTTTAGATTCACGACAAATCTCATTTTTTCACAAATCTTTGAGAGCATATTACATTTTCATAATACAAAATTCATGCAATTATACAATTAATAAATTTAACTTTGTGCGTGAAGTAATTCTCATTAATATTCCATATTTACCCTCAAAATATAACCAGTACGTTTAGTTAGTGCATCAACTTTTGTATTAAAAAAATAATAATTCTGCGGAAAGTTTCTTAAATTTTTTTTAAGAAGAAGCTACTTTTATTACACTTTAGCAATAAATCGCAATATGTTGACATTTTAAAATTATACGTTACATTTTATCCTAAAAATACAGGAATGTTTAAATTAATTACAAACTAAATTATCACTTCAACTGCGGTTTCATGTTATCGTTTTTTTTCTTCCTTACAGTATTATTTAAGTCTTTTTATTAACATGATTAATTATGTTTTTATTTTATTTTATATTTTGTTGTACACAGAACAGAAAAATAAAAATGTGCTGGCAGCTACTATTTTTATATGAAAGTCATCAGTAGATATTAATATTATACAACTCAGTTAGTAAGGTGATGCAATTTGTGGAACGTTAAAAACTTTATCAAACCTGTCCTGGCGTTAAAAACCAGCACCATCTCTCTGGATCGAGCTCAGTGGAAACATGTTCTTACAAACCGAACGAGTCCTGAAGTCTTGAACAAATCCAAGGCAGGCGCGCGCACACACACACACACACACACACACACACACACACACACACACACACGTCTCCATGTTGACAGCAGCCCAACCCTAATTAAGATTTAATTACTTTGCAGAGGTGTTAAATAATTCAAATTTAGTGCCAAGTGCATGCAGGAGTTGTATTTGTTGTCGTGTGAACTTGGAAAGATGCTTCAACGGAGACATTTGTGGATTATTCAAAACAAACTTGTTAAATTACGTTTTCAAATACCGGTACATGTTTTATAAAGATTAAAAGTGATCCATGCATTTATCAGTTTCCAGTTTCTGTCTGTGAGGCTGACACCGTCCTCTTTTAAACCTAGGCTAAAGACTTTCCTTATTGATAAATCCTATAGTTACGGTTGGCTTGGGTTGGAGCTATTCCTTGGTTCTGCTGTTTAGAGGACAAACTGACCACATCTTCTCACTCTGCTGCTATCTTTACTCCATCTACTGTTCATGTTTGTATTTGTAATTATCCAGATCATTAACATGTTTTTCTTTGTCTTTCTCCCCATAGAGATTACACCTGAACTATAGGAACTACCAGGACAAGCCATTCTGTTTGCCTTTGTCTCTTTCCTGTCCTCTTTAACCCCAGCTGGCTGAGACAGAGTGCTGCCCATCCTGGTTCTGATTCTGCTGGAAGTTTTTTCCTGTTAAAAGGAGTTTTTTCTTTCCACTGTCACCTCTGTGCTGCTCAGAACGGGACATACAGAAGAAGTAAAGATTCAACGAAATCTGTTAATTATGATGTGAACCTGTGCAAAATAAACTGAATTAACTCAATTAGGTCTTGATTCTTATAATTGCAGCATTGTCAATTTATTAAACTTGTGAAATGTAATTGAAAAAAGTTTAAATCATATTTTTAAAACAGGCAATAGTTAAAATGAAGAAGAAAAGCGCAGAAATTAAATACAGATGACGTTAGCATCTTTTAATCTTCACTGACTGATCTGCAAACTAATAAACTAAATGTTTCTCAGTGATGCAAAATTATTTATGATTCAAGTCACTCAACAAATGTACCCTGCACCGTCTTTTACAGCAGTATGAAAATAACAACATAAGCAGATTTAAACATCAACAGGGAAGCACACGTCCAAATAAATAAATTAATTACTTAATTAATAAAACCAGTCTTTTTTTGAAGGCAAACTGATTTACAAACGGTCGTGCTTTGGGATCCAATGAAAGTAACAGGATAAAGTGCGCCTGACCTGACTGGACATCCTGGCATGGCAGCTAAATTCAATACGACAAGGGCATAAACAGCGACGTACCAAAACACTACAGCAGTTCATTAGGTCCACGCTGTCAGAACAAGAACGTCTCCTGTTGTTTCCTGTCAGGGAGCAGCACCACTTCCTCACCAGGCTGGAAATCCTTTGTCACACACACACACACACACACACACACACACACACACACACACACAAACACACACACACACACACACCAGTTTAATCTGTTTAATGTTACTTACTTTATGCTATTTTACCGTTTTCCAGTTACCATTTCAACATAAAACAAAGTTTTTTCACTTCACTCATACACTAATGCAAGAAAATAACCTTAATAAAGGCCTAATAGCATTTAAATGCTGTAATTTCATTACAAGTTTTTTTTTTTTTTTTTGTAGACACCAGACTTCCTTTAATACTAGTTACTAATCTTAATTCTAGCTAATCCAACTCTGAATACCAGACAAGTTTATCTGTGAGAGATGGACAGAATGTAGGTTAGTAAATCATTAAAGAGCAAATTTTAGACCTAGGGTTCATTTAAACTCTGAAAACAACCACAATCTTCAGGACATACATAAAAAAGGTTTATCTGCCAGGGACTCTGCACAGGAAAACATCAAGAGAAAGCTGAAGTTAAAAACTAGATCATCAGATCTTTCTTGTTGCATAATGAAGGCTGAAAGAGATATTTAGGTTTGCAATATTTGGCGTTTTACAAATCTCAAAACAAACATTAAATCATGTTTGAAAAATTAGACTAATTCATCCCTTAAAATTTAAAATCCAACATACAAACCGGATTCCAAAAAAGTTGGGACACTAAACAAATTGTGAATAAAAACTGAATGCAATGATGTGGAGGTGCCAACATCTAATATTTTATTCAGAATAGAACACAAATCACAGATTAAAAGTTTAAACTGAGAGAATGTATCATTTTAAGGGAAAAATCTGTTGTTTCCAAATTTCATGGCGTCAACAAATCCCCAAAAAGTTGGGACAAGTCCATTTTTACCACTGTGTGGCATCCCCCCTTCTTCTTACAACACTCAACAGACGTCTGGGGACAGAGGAGACCAGTTTCTCAAGTTTAGAAATAGGAATGCTCTCCCATTCATGTCTAATACAGGCCTCTAACTGTTCAATCGTCTTGGGCCTTCTTTGTCGCACCTTCCTCTTTATGATGCGCCAAATGTTCTCTATAGGTGAAAGATCTGGACTGCAGGCTGGCCATTTCAGTACCCGGATCCTTCTCCTACGTAGCCATGATGTTGTGATTGCTGCAGAATGTGGTCTGGCATTATTGTGTTGAAAAATGCAGGGTCTTCCCTGAAAGAGATGACGTCTAGATGGGAGCATATGTTGTTCTAGAACCTGAACATAGTTCTCTGCATTAATGGTGCCTTTCCAGACATGCAAGCTGCCCATGCCACAAGCGCTCATGCAACCCCATACCATCAGTGATGCAGGCTTCAGAACGGAGCGTTGAGAACAACGTGGGCTATCCTTGTCCTCTCTGGTCCGGATGACATGGCGTCCCAGTGTTCCATAAAGAACTTCAAATCGTGACTCATCTGACCACAGAACAGTCTTCCATTTTGCCACACTCCATTTTAAATGACCCCTGGCCCAGTGCAAACGTCTGAGCTTGTGGAGCTTGCTTAGAAATGGCTTCCTCTTTGCACTGTAGAGTTTCAGCTGGCAACGGCGGATGGCACGGTGGATTGTGTTCACTGACTATGCTTTCTGGAAGTATTCCTGAGCCCATTCTGTTATTTCCTTGACAGTGGCATTCCTGTTTGAGGTGCAGTGACGTTTAAGGGCCCGGAGATCACGAGCATCCAGTAGAGTTTTACGGCCTTGACTCTTACGCACAGCGATTGTTCCAGATTCTCTGAATCTTTTGATGATGTTATGCACGGTTGATGACGATAACTTAAAAGTCTTTGCTATTTTACACTGGGTAACACCATTCTGGTATTGCTGCACTATCTTTCTGCGCAACAATGGTGGAATTGGTGATCCTCTTACCATCTTGGCTTCTGAGAGACACTGACACTCTGAGAAGCTCTTTTTATACCAATCATGTTGTCAATTGACCTAATTAGTGTTAATTGGTCTTCCAGCTGTTCGTTATATGATCAATTTCCTTTTTCCAGCCACTTATTGCTACTTGTCCCAACTTTTTTGGGATTTGTTGACACTGTGAAATTTTGAATCAACATATTTTTCCTTTAAAATGTTACATTTACTCAGATTAAACTTTTGATCTGTCATCCATGTTCTATTACGAATAAAATATTGACATTTGCCATCTCCACATCATTGCATTCAGTTTTTATTCACAATTGGTTTAGTGTCCCAACTTTTTTGGAATCCGGTTTGTATTTTAAAACCCTACCCCATTTTTCCTTCAGTTTTGTTAACAAGAAGCTAAATCTAATTTTTAGCAGGAAAAGTCCTTGTGATACTCTGATGGTATTATTTAATATTTATTAGTTATTGGCTGCTTTTTCCACTTAGTCCATTTCTAATATCTGAACATTTTCTGCAGATTTCTTTCAGTTGCATTTGCATAAAAAGGTCAAACATAAAACAGTTTGACAGGCTTAAAATAATGTTGTTGCACCAACAAGATGAGAACCTAAAAGTTATTAGTGGCAAAGTTATAATTCTACGTTAACACAGATGATGAAGCAGAGGTTTGTGGAGTACGTAATGAAAGCCACTCATGATGATTATTAAAGCCCTGACAACCTATTATTGGCTGATTTACAGCATCAGGGAGGAGGTCATGCAGCACACAAGCAAGACGTTAATAAACACAGGATCCATGTGAGGTGGTGACCTCACAACTCATCTGGTGCCATCAGTAATCATTCCAGTGTATTTCTGTTTCATCGATTACAGCCCTGCTTTGTGGCTGCAGCTCACACAAAACAATGTAATATAAATCTGACATTTTTAGGGGAGATCACAGATCAGGACGATCATTAAAATATAAAACTGGCAGCAAAGGTCCGGTTTAGAGGAAACCCTTCTAACCTGAAAGACCTTTAAAGTTAAAGCAAACCGTACTCTGTAAGAAAACATCCTCGAGAATTTAAGACAAAGTTTCCGTGTTGTGCTTTCCCACCCCTCAGTCCCACAGCAAGTTCACATCCTGCTTTGAGGCCGTTCGATCCAAACACATCACGCTGCAGACACGGACTGCTGAGGGTCAGCGCAGGAAAAACCTCAACTGATCGCTTCCTCTCTTTAAGAATGGGCGGACGTCACTTTCTAACAACACAGTCTCCTGACTGAGAGACACATTTATTATGTTACGCTTAACACCCTGGAAGGAGCACACCGGGAGCCGTCGGAGACTTTTTTTGTTCTTCTTTCTATTCCTGAGATCAAATAAACACAAGCAAAACAAGCCACAACTTTTGATCTACTAAAAAGCCAGACATTCCTCAGATATGGAGTAATTTCTTTGACAGCATGGGTCAAAAAAGTAAATCCACCGAGATTAGAAACAGCAGTTCTACTTCAAGAACTATTATGAGCTTCTTTTTTCTGCTTGAAGTTTTGATCTACATTTTCAGACAGCAGACACTTGTAATATTTTCCAAGCGCATAAAGTAACCTACATCTGGGAAGTCTGCACTTGTTGCATGGTGCCTGAAGGATCTGTCAACTCGATCAGCCCCTCTGGGCTTTAAAAACACCTGAAGATGGTGAGGAGTATTATTTTCTCTTGTCGCAGGTAGAAACCTTGATTGAATTTACAGTTTGGGTTTCAAATCCAACATGGATTGTTCAGGAAGAGAAACTGACATTTGTGACGCTACAATAAAAAAATTAAAAAAATCACCCCAAAATAATGTATATGCTGCTTCCAAGGAGCCAGACTTTATAGCATTTTCTTAAAGTGGTCTTGATCTAGTAGTTCTCCAGGCTCACTGCAGGTCTGTCATGGGTTTTCTTTGGTCTTTGGCTGCTTTTCAACCATTTTTAGTCCAGTTCTTCTTGTGTCCAACCATGACAACACACTCAGCAGAAACAGAGAGTGGAGTGGATAAGTGGAGTACAAAAGAAGAAGTGCCAGTACTTATAAAAAACCACAATAAGCAAGATCTGAAAGTCATGCTTTAAAACAAAAGGAAAAAAAATATACAAGACCTGAGTAATAAATCCTTCAGCTGATTTTTTTTACTGCATGTCAAGTGTTCTCAGCTAACTGGAAATGTATTTATTGGTATTAAAAAAATATTTCATGACTGTCAAACTATCTAGAGTTGGTAATTGTCATAGATTCAAAAAGAACTGGTATTGGACTAAAAAGATTAGTGAAAAAACAACCAAAGTCTAAAGTAAAAATTTGACATGATCTGTGGTGAGAGCAGGGAACAGGTGGAAGAGAGCTTAGAGAGGTGGAGGTATACACTTGAAAGAAGAGGAATGAAAGTCAGCCGTAGTGCATGTGTGTAAATGAGAGGGAGGCTGGTGGAACAGTGAGGCTACAAGGAGCAGAGGTCACAAAGGTGCAGGACTTCAAGTACTTGGGGTCCACTGTCCAGGAAAATGGAGAGTGTGGTAAAGAGGTGAAGAAGAAAGACCTGGGAGGATGAAGTGGATGGAGACAAAAGGATGTCAGCAAAGGTCAAAGGAAAAGTTTACAAGACAGTGGTGAGGCCAGCCATGTTGTATGTTCTGGAGACAGTGGCATTGACAAAAATACCGAAGAAAGAAATGGAAGTGACAGAAATGAAGATGTTGAAGTTCTCCTTAGGAGTGACAAGGATGGATAAGATGAGGAATGAGATCATCAGAGGTTCAGCACAGGTTGAACAACTGGGAGATAAAGTTAAAGAGACTGAGATGGTTTGGACATGTCCAGAGGAGGGACAGTGGGTATACTGGTAGAAGGATGTTAGAAATGCAGCTGCCAGGAAAAAGATAAAGAGGAGATATGGATGAAGTTAGAGAGGACATGGAGGGAGTTGGAGTGAGGACAGAGGATGCAGAGAACAGAGATGGAGCATGACTTGCTGTGGTCATCCCTGAAGAGGGAAAAGCCAAAAGACGATAATGGCTTTAAAAGAGTTATTTTTACTCAATTTTAATAAAGTAGTTACAAAATACAACCTCCTTGGAAGCAAAATATGAAACGATTACAAATGACTGAGTTTTTCCACCACTCCTCATGACTCAAAGTTGATGATGATTTAAGGTGCCACTGGGTTGGGCCCTGCTCTTCCTAAATCCAAAGTCCACATCAGGACCTTCAAGAAACAAACAAAAACCTGACCACTGCACGATGAAGTCACAATGAAAGACATGAACAGATCAACTCTTCCAGGCAGATGGGTGACCATTAGCTGGGGTTATGTAAGCGGAAAGTGGCAGTGTGGCTGCTGCCTGCAGGCCAAACACAGCCTCGATGGATAAATACCATTCTAAGAATGACTGGGTAAACACACAGAAAGCGGCTCTGTGCTATATCACACGAGAAAGACAAACATCACCGCCTGCATTTGGTGTTTGTTTACTGCAGAACTCGGGTAGTTGTGTTGACGAGCTAGCGTTAGCTCCAGTGATTCAGCGGGGCGGTCGTGCGCCGAGTGACGGCAGAGACGTGCCTCTCTGACGGACACTCGCTCCGTCACTGACTCGGTGGGGTTCGTGGCACCCCCCCCCCCCCCCCGCCTTTAACGGTTCCCCCCCCTACCTAGAAGCCTCTCGCCTCCTAGGTTATCGCACGTTAAATACCTCCTTACGCTCTGTTAGCTTAAAAGTTAGCTACACAGCTTGAACTGTTAAAAGGAGCGCGCGCTGTACTCACGTTAAAACAGCGTTAACCGTTAGGGGCGAATTTTCGGAATTCCTCAGTTAACTGAGCCACAAATGTCTTAAAGAAAAACAACAAACACTTCGTCTCCGTCAATACTTGCCGTTACAATGGCGGTTCGACACGATTTAAATGTCACCAAAACAAATATCCAGTTACTCACCGGAGGAATCCTCATCTTTATTCCCATTGAGCCCGACCGTTCGCGCCCATTATACTTAACCCAGCCTTAAAGGCTTTTTTTGTCTTTTTATTATTATCCACCTTCTAGACTCTCGCTGTTTGCTTGACTTGAACGGTACTACTCGAAAAGTACATCCAAACCCTGCCGTAGTTGTGCGACAGCAGTCAAGGATCCCTCCTCCCCTAAGGATTTAACGCTGAGAATAAAAAGGAGCAGCCATGATTCATGTTACCATCTTCTACTTCCGGTTTGGCCTTTCGAAATAAAACTAGTAAGGAAACGTTCATGCTCTGAGGCAGAGAGAAATTGAAAACAAACACCAGTTACTCCATTTTTTTTCCTTTTATTTGTTTATTTTTTTAATGAAATACAAAACACACGTAAAACGTTGAAATTACCACACACTTTATAAAGGTTCTCCAAGAAATTATCAAAACATACTCACGTAATCCAGTTGTTGACGAAGAAATCAAACAACAAATTTAACCAAAAATACAAAATGTCCCCCACCTTTTAGGTATTTTTACATTTGTATTGGCATATATACAGCAATACACTTCCTATAAATAAATCATGACTATTGTAAGTAAAATCTGAATCTGCAAAAACTTATGGTTGCCAAATAAATGTAAAGGTTTGAAACACTTTGGCTACGACAATCTCACGAGTTAGCGGGAGAGAGGGCGGACCAAAAATCACATGAGCGCCATCAAACCGGTTGATCCACTATGAAAACGTGCTATTTATAAGACTGAATTTGTTGCAGCTCCTCGGACTGATGAAGTATTTTGTATGAAAGATGAAACGTTTCAAGAAAAATAATCCATCCAGAGGACATGAGTTAACTTTGTTGGATTTTTCTACCTGGATTATTGAGCATGAATCAGGATACGTAGTAAAGTTACTGGTATACTGTATTTTTTTTTCTGCTAATGTGTGAAGCAGAAATACAAAGCTGCAATTACATATGCAAAATCATTGAAGCTGCATCTCTCGTTTATGAGAAACTTTGTGCATTAAGTACAAAATGAAAAAGTATATGTTTGTGATCGTTCTCACTCAGTCATCCAATTAAAACAATGTTAAAAAAAAAAACAAAGCAGCTGGACTCGAAAACAATAAAGTAGTAGTTGAAAAAATAATCTATTTTGGAAGTGTTCTCAATTTTAAACTAAAAAAAAAAGTTCCCCAGATTGGAAACAAAACTTTTTCCAACTACAGAATACAAATCCAGTTGCTTTGTTTTTTTTAAATGTATTTTAATTAAATTCTATAGTTTCTCAAAAGGTTAAGGGATACATATTTAAAGTGTTGCCTTCACATTAAAAACTAAACTAATATTGTATTCCTGTTGACACAAGTGGAAAGTTGGAAGCAGAAATATTTAAAAGCAACTGCAGTTACAAGGGTCGAGATAGGGCAGAGCCGACCTGGGACCAGAAAGTTGCGGCCCGACTCCCAGCCATTCCCACATGTTGTGGTGCTTCTGAGCAATACACCCAATCCCTAACTGCTCCCTGGGCACTCAGTAGCTTCCCATTGCTCCACCTGAGTGCATCCCAGGTGCGATGGGTAAAATGAAGAGAACCAATTTTGTCATTGTATGGAAACATACAATGACAATACAGTACAGCACTTACTTACAATTTCATAATTAGCACATTTGAGAAATCACTATAAACCAAAGGTTATTGCACATACTCTATTATTTGCTAATAAAAATAGGATATGCTTTATTTAAATGTGACACTGATCTCAGCAGTTATCTGTAGTCAGGGTTCACTTGTGCTTTTATTTTCTACGTTCATAGTTTCCGGTTTTGCTCCAGTCGCGTGCAGAACTTGACGCAGCTCGGACTTGTCTCGGGGCGGCAGCTCTTGTAGCTCCAGCCGCTGCAGCAGAAGGGACATGTTGACTCAGTCTGGGCGGAATGTGACGAGTCGAGCCCCGGGGCGGGTCCACGGCTCCGTCCCGCTCTCACTTACCGCAGGCCGGGAGCTGGAAGGACTCATCTTCGGTCACCTTGTCACAGCCGTGTCCGGTAAGGACAGCGGTGGAGGAGCCATTAATCAGCGCGAGGCGTCAATTAAACCGGAAGTGGCGTCAGAGCCATTTAAACCATCTCCTCCTGGTTTTAACAACCCAACTGCGATAATGACTCAAAACAAGTTGGAATTATTGAGAAAAAAAAAGTAATCAAATTATGGTTACAACAATTATTTTAACAGAAAACAAATCACATTACTTAGAAAACCACAATAACAAGCAGTTCATGCTGCCTTGGGCATCTTTGTGACATATTCACTTGATTTGAGTACAGGCTGTTCAATAGATTAAAGATAAATAAATAATCAAATACTTTTCTAAGTCAATTGGACAGCATATTTTTACTACCATGGGTATGCTGGTATGATAAAACTAAAAACAAGATGATCAACTGCACATAAAGATGCCATTTATAACTACTTCATATTTTATTTGTGACCCATGCAGACAAAATTAGTCACAGTGTGGATTTATTTATTCCCCATTTAAAAAGCTTCAAAATGATCCACGGTTTGTTAAAATTTGGCAATTTATCACCCAGCCAGGCGACAGGCTAGTTTTCTTTAGGAGTGCTCGTTTGAGAACTTCTTTTTTTTTTTGCATGTGGAGGGATATCTAGAATTTTTGCTGCATATTTAAACAGAAAAATCCACACACTTTGCAATGGTGCCAAACACAACAAAGGATTTGTTTACTCCATGGCAGCCAGTAAGAAAAAGTCTGTTTCAAAGGAAAAAATAAGGACAATAAGCCAAAGGATTATTTCAAAAGGCATACCCGCTACAAAACTTTTATGTAAAGGCAGATTATGAAGATTATATATGCTGTTTTAGTTATTAGGATCACTAGCTGGTGTCTTTATGGACTCATTTGTATGCAAATCTTAACTACAGCAATAAATGAGCAGATGTCATTTTCAAGTCTAAACTTCTGACATTAATCTATATTAGGGAACATCTATTTTGTTCCTAAATAATATAATTTTTACATTTTCTAACATTGCTAACTGATTCATGCATTGTTTAATTTGGCGTTCAGACTGCTGTTAAAAAACAAAAGTTATTAATTCAAACATAGAAGGTCCACTCTGAGGTTTTTAAGGCTCAACAGCTTTTTCTTCATGTGAAACAAGCATTGTTCACAAATAATTCATATTTAAAGACTTAACAAGTATTCATAACTGCACATAAGTGTACATACTAAAGTAATACGAAGTTCGTGACAAGTAAATTACAACTTCAAAATAAATCCATGAAGAAACATCTGTTGCGCAAACTCATTTTATTAAATTCATATTTACCATTATAATGCTAATTACATAATTCACTACATTTAATTGTAATTTTAAAAGGAATCTCTTAAATACCAGCTGTGTTTAGCTAATTAAGCGTATTTCTAAAGTAATTGAAGTCCTTTGGGTGCTAAGACGTTCACAGCGTTCTGAGTGCGTTGTTGAGACGCCGCATCGGAGTAAACATCCCAGGAGGAGACGCGTTACGCCTTTCATTACCGTTTCCCCATCAGAGGAAATCTTTGCGAGTCCACAAAACATAAAAAGCAGAATAATAGAAAAATGTTTAACCGGGGAAGGGAACTCGATCAGTTTGCTTCATTTTTTGAGGCTTCGTCGAAGTTCTCCACGAGATCTGTGAGGCAGAAAAATAAATTAAATCAGAACTTTGTGCTGAAAAGCAGACACTTTGTTCTATAATGATAAAAAGTATTTTAATTTTCTGCAAATTTACATTTTCATATCCTTTATGCATTTAAAGCAGTAAAATATCTGTGCCCTATCGTGTTATTTTGAATGCAATCAGCACAACGATGACGTCTCTACCTGGTACGTCGTCGTCTTCTTCTTCTGCGTGCTCCTCTTTGACAGCTTTCATGTCCATCGCTGCTGAAACAAACCCCAAAATCCAAAATTAATTTCTTTATTTCTATATTATCTTTATTTTATTTATTTAAAAGGGCGGTGCTCATTAATCAATATTTCACAAATAACAAATGCGCTAGAATTAGCACCACAGCTAAATTTCTCCTGAGCAGAAAAACAGTTTTTAAAACAGGTGCGTAAAACAAATACAACACTCGATTAAAACAATCCATAAAAACAAACCAAGCAAACATCACGTTCTTTAAATTACGCAGTTAAAATCGACCCATTTCATGAATAAGTATGATTTTCTTTGAGCCAAACTGAAAACAGAATAATGGTCAGAGCCTCTTTTACATTCTGGTAGTTCGTTCCATGAATGTGCTCCTCCGTCAAACTGAAAAACTGTTTTATTTTGTTTAATTTAATTTCTATGTGATACACAAAGCCTCCTTTTGTTTGTATAGTTTCAAATCAACTTCCTTTTATTACAGAAAGCTGTGTGGTAAAATCAAAATATAAACATTGTTTTGTCTTTACATTTTAATAACGTTTTATTGTGTAAAAATCGTTGGATTTGGCCAAAAGCTCATAAACAAAGTCCCAGTACTTTTCCATCGGCCGTACGGGGACTCAAAAACAAAACCAACCTGTCACGCACACAAAAATAAAGAGTCTGCGAGTGCGTAAACATGCAAAATATTCAGTTTGCTTCAAGCCATTTGAACAAAGAGCAGCTGGTCGTCTGAGTCACCCGTGGACCAGCGGGGTTTCTGCTTAGGAAATTAATAAAAGTGTCATAAACTTGAGCTCCGTATAGTTTCCTTTTATTTTAACCCTCAAGTATTCTTCAAAATTAGCAATCAACGCGTCATCAAAACTAATTAAATCAAAGAGCAATCCATACAAAGCTGGAAATTAACACTGTTTCCATTTCTTATTTACATGAATTTAAATTTGCATGTAAAATTATTCAGATTAAGATTTAAGCACCCCAGATCAGAAGACACCGGCTGAAAAGTTGCTGGAAGATGTAAACAGAAACGGTGAGGACATTTTCAGGAAAGGAACAGGTTTTAACCTCTGCAGAGGAAGAATTTCTTCACAGTTGCATTAAATTTAAAGAACTGCTAAGCTTTACGACAGCTAGAGTAAAAGGTAACAGTGAAAAGAGTTTCTGAGAAACTGAGGATCATCTGACATCCATGTTAGCCCCATGCATTCCAGGGCAGAGGGGACTGTTTGGACCTTCATGTAGGAGGAACTAAAAAAAAAAACAATTTGAAAAAGCAAACCAGAGAAAAACCAGCTCCTCGGGACAAGACTTAGCCATCCACCTACATACTGCAGACAAGAGAGATTCTCAAGGACAGATGGAGCGAAAAAAGCCGACGTTAAACGGGAGAATCTAGTAAATAAACAAGTCAAAAGTGACAACAGCCTAAACGACACACAGGACGGACGGGTCCGAGACTCGCACGTAACATCAACAGCTGTCTGTGCAAAAAGGAACAAAACAAACCAGAAATGACATCGATTTTGGGTCAGCTGTGCCACAACGCTCGTTTAAAGAGTCCCTCCAGCCCATTAAGTGACGATGAGGTCCTGGTTTGTTCATTTAACCTTTATTTACAGTAGTCCCTCGCTACTTCGTGGTTCGTTTTTCGCGGACTCACTCTATCGCGGTCTTTCAAAATAAGATTGGACATGGCACACATTTGGCTGATTGATGGATGAGCCGCACGATAGGCAGGACATTTTTATTTAAAATAAATTATTTAAATTATTTAGCACCTCCTGCACCTCTGTGCAGTCCACACTGCAGGATAAGCTTCCTCCTGCAGCTGATCAGCTGTTCCCTGTGCAGAGTGGAGAAGTGGGCGTGGCCAAGAACGCTTGCAGGTGGCTGAGAGCAGCGGAGGCAAAGAGAGGGAAATCATGACATTTGTGCTCTTTTAGAACATTTAGAATCATTGTTTAGAATATTGCAAGAGTGTGGGAAGGGTTTAAAATGCCTCTCTCTCTCTCTCTCTCTCTCTATATATATATATATATATATATACACACTAAAAATAAACTACTACTTAATAGTTGTACTACTATTCCTACTTTGCGGTTTTTCACTTATCGCGGGGCTTCAGGGTATGGATCCCCCACGATAAACGAGGGACCACTGTACAGGGTCACTGTATATATATATATATATATATATAAAAATTTAAAAAAAGACGTTTGAGCGACTTTAAACCTGAAATTTTATTTAGTTTGTTTTCGTTCTCTCTTTGATAAACCAAACAACTGTGGATAAAACTATTCAATCAACATCTTTTGTTAAGAAGCGTTTTTTTTTAATGCTCGTGGTCGCCTTTTTGTGTGTCTTAGATGTCACCTTATGAACTTAAAAGAAGTTTTATCTCCGTTCAAACCCCAGACAGAGCTGTTAACTTCAAAGGAGCTTCGGCAAACCTTCAGACTGGCACAGATCAAATTTACATCCCACATATTCGGCAAGACGTGTCTAAATGTTACAGAGAAAGTTTAACCTGAAGTGATAAACATGGAATCACCACAAACCTCCTGATTTATGCTCAGATTATTAAAACGTTTAATGAGTGGGTTTGGGCCTCGTGTGCGTGCTCACATTGCCGTGGGAACTGCTCCGCCAGCTTGCGCAGGCTGCTGAGGCTGTCGGCTCCCAGCTGGCTCAGGATGCCCGGCAGCATCTCGGTCAGCTGTTTGGTCTCAGCGTGGCCCGTGATGGCAAAGGTGTTCGCAGACAGAGACGCTTGAACTTTGGGGTTGTTGAAGTGAATCACCGTCCCGTCATCTTTTATCATATTTACCTAAAAAGGGTCAAAACAAAGCATTCCAGCTTCAAAGTGTAAGCGAAACTTAGTACAGTATTGATGCATGTAAACAATAAAATGCTTCAGGAGTTCCACATAAATGGACATTCAGGGGTATCATGACACAAAAGAACATGTATGGATTCATTAACATTTAAATAACTAAAAGCAACTGTTAGGCCATGGGCATTACGAGCTTAAAAATAGATATGTTCAATGTGCTTTGCAGTATTTACAATAATAAAAATTATTCACTGTAAATATAAACAGGAAACTGAGCCATGACGTGAAACAATGTATCCAGTTTACATCACGTTTTACTTGCACCTTCGTGTTACGCGTGTTTGCTGAAAGCGCGCTAAAAATAAATCAAATGATGCGTTTGGGGCTTTCAAAGTCTACAATCCTGATAAATGATTCAGAGTCTAACAAAAATAAAACGGCACAAACACGCCACGACACTCCTCGGATAACTCACCTCTTCTATGCCTGCGATGTTGTTCACTGCTAGTTTCTTCAGCGAGCCCTGCAGTTTTTTGTCATCAGCTGTTGCCGTTTTGTGAACGACCTTTTTCTTCCTGCGGGCAGTCCCCTAGGAGGAGAACAGGTGCCCCAAAAAAAAAAAAGATTGGACAGCTTAATGAAACAAGACATTAAACAATAAAAACACAGGATCACACTACTCTGTAGTTAAAATTTTTGAATTCGTATACTACTGAAGCTTTATCTGCCAGTTTTTGAGTAAAATTTGGATTTTTATTGGTATCAGTTTAAATAAATGTTTAAGACTGCGAGACATTTGTGTAATATTTTCTTTTCTTTCAATTCAAACGTTAATTGGCACATAACTGATCTGAATTCTGGATGTAGCTGACCTAAAATCATAAACAGCTCGTCTCTATGTACAATACATTCGTTAGAAGTCAAAACTTACACATTTCTCATAAGTTTCAAGATGACATCACCAACAGCTCTTCCCCATTTCTTGGAAATTATTTTATATAAAGTTACTATATTTCAATAACTTAAAATTACTTTACCAACAGCAATTTAAAAAGGGTACATCTTTGACGTCAGTATTATGAAAGAAAAACTAGATTCTACTTGTAGACAAAATAATGTTTACAAAAAAGGAAGTGATTACCACTAGTTAACGCCACAAAGCTTTTCCCAAAGTGTTTTAATAATGTAAGCTTGAAAGTTACTTTTGTAAGTTGGAAAAAAGACTATATAAAACATAGCTCAAATAGATATTCTTCAGCTAAATTAGACATATTATTCTTATTAACTCCTTTTGAACACATTTACTTCTGTTATAAACTCAAAGTTGTGACATTAACTTGTATTACCCTTTACAAGCGAAAAGTTTAGACCAAGGATTTTACCCTGATTCAGGTAAACCCGAGCGTATGACATGGTTAGACTTTTCGTGAATCTGTTGCTGATCCATCAAACTGGTCATATTTGCTTAAATATCATGGTACAAAGAGAAAGAGTCTATTTAGATACACATTTTGCCAAAATGTCAAAATCTTTTGTAAGAGAAATTCCATTACTGGTGAAAGCAATATAAAGTAGAATTACAAAATATTGTGTTTGTTGGTCTAATAATAATAGTGCTGTAGTGTACAACAATGACTTTCCCAACAAAAATAACAAATATTGCCACCTAGTGTGTGTCTGAAGCCCTCACAGTGGATATGAACAATGCCACTGGGGCCACAGATGAAGAGGCCAGCCAGTATTATACCTGATAAAGGGACTGCTGAGGTCAGGAGAAAAGGTACGGCCGAGTCCAAAATACCTTTAAACTTCATAAAATGAGCAACAGCTGAGCCAAAGACAGGATCTAAATGCAATGTCTGGATATTTTTCACCACAACAGCTACAGAAATGGAGATATGTCAAGAAGTGGACGGTACCTTTCCTCCTATCCGGACCTGAGCCTGAAGTTTGGCGAGCTTCTCTTGATTCATAGTGTTCTTCTGGTTTAATAAAAATGAAAATAAATATTATTAAATACATTGTACTCTGTTTACACAGCTCAAACAACAAGACATGGATGGATTTGACTAGTCGAGTGTTGAGCAATAGCTACAATTTGAGACACCAAACATGTGTTTTGACCGCTTTATTTAGGTTACTAATATCACAGAACACAAGAAAAATGAAGACAGACGAAATTACAGACTACGTTATTTTAAAACAACACCTGTCTAATATTAAGCTAGCTAAGCGTGCAAAGTGAGCGATGGACTGTGCTAATGCTAGCTAGCCTAACTGGTTAAAAAGACACGGTTAAATTAATTTGTTTTTGGTTCTTGGCTACATCAAAATGTAAGGCTTTAAAATAATCAACTGGGCTGTTTAAAACACAATTAAACGGTATATTTACCTGTGATTGGAGATTATCAGTCCGCTGAACAGTTCTTGCTACAGACGGAGCAGTAAGGATTAGACCATAGTTAATTCCGGTGCAACATACAAAACTTCCGGGTTTGTTTTTCAGAATAAAAACGTCATAACGCATTTTATTTTTTCCGCAACACCTTTACCTTTTGTAAACGTTGTAAACCCATCTAGTAAATCTCTACTTATATTATAATAAAAATACTGTGCATACACCGGCTTTATTATATATTTTCACAATCAATGCGGACTTTTAAACTTGTGACTTTACATATATTTCCGGTTTTACACCTGTATTTTTTTGTCTGACTTGATCTGATTTAGCGTCGAAGAGCACGCGGTTGTGTGGATGTGATGTCACGTGAACACGCCTCAAAAAAAAAAAAAAAAACTGTTAGCTGTAACGGAAGCGACGCACGCTCTGCGACGTTCAACGACTTTTACTGTGAAAGGCTTGCAGTTGAACATCCGGGTCATTGGTTTATCGACCGTTAGCCATTACCCGCTAGCTGCAGTTGCGGGTAAAGAAAGACAATTAAAATGCAAACGTCAATAGCAAATATCGCTTTTTTTTCGTTGTTTCAGGTTTTATTGTCTTTGTCGGGTTTTCTAGAGGTCGTGGAGGCCTCCAGTGGGAGAGGTGAGTTTATATTTAGAGTTAAAAATGTTAAAGTGTAGCCTCATTGAAAGTGCTGGTCTTTGTGTGAACATCCTGGATCATGGTGTGTGTCCTTGATGATTGAACAGGTGTGTTAAGTCACAAAGATGGTTAAAATCCAGTTTTTCTGGTTCACCTGATAACAGTAATACAACTTCCGTTACTTTTACAGAAGCATTTTTAAGTATTGTGATCTTCCCAGGGAGGTATTTTTAATTATATTTGGTAGTTTTTAGATGAAAAAAGTTATTAGAAATCTAATAGACCACAGAAAACACCTCTTTAAAGCTAAAAATGTTTCACTTAGCAAAGAAACTCCACCACTACACACTATTTGACAGTTATTTTCATGTTTTGTTGTGAAATCTGTTGTGTATTTTGTTCCTGGAAGATATAAAAAAAAAGAAAATCATCTGTTTTGTTTGTTCTGTCACACTTGGTTAGTTTTCCTCTTCTCTGTGTACTTTTCTCAATGGTTTAGAAAGCGTAACATAAAGTCCTGGACACTTGGGTGATCTCTGATCCCAAAATATACAGTAATGGTTACAGTGTATGTTAGATTATTTTAACATAACTAACTCAGCCTCATCATTAAAACATCTAAACAAATGCCGTAAAGTGTTTCCTGGTATAGTTTTATGACAGTCCTTTGTATTCATTCCGTATTTAGGGCAGATCCGCCCTGTTGTGGGGAAATATAAAACCGGTTACGCAAAGCTGATGTGCTCATAGATGCTTTCTTTTTGTATTCCTGCAGGATTTGGAGATAATATCCACTGGAGGACGCTGGAAGATGGCAAGAAGGAAGCTGAAGCCAGGTGGGCTGAAACAAGACAAAGACTTTTTTTTTTTTTGTGCAATATAAACTTGTGTAAAAAAACAAACAAGTGGTCCACATTTGTGGAGCTGATTGACAAATTAGTTGTCTTTATTTAAAGGAAAGCATTCTGTACTGGTTGCCAATTTTTTTTTTTGTTCTGCAGTTTTAGTCCGTACCAAAGGTGTATCGGTTTGTTTCATCTATGTTTTGTCTCTGACACGCATTCCTCTGTTGTTGCGTCTATAGCGGGCTGCCGCTCATGGCCATCATCCACAAGACCTGGTGTGGAGCCTGCAAAGGTAGAAATGTGTTCACGCCTTATCACTCCTAACAAAGGGAACAATAATTATTTAGATTACACATGAACAAACATTTACTCACATCTGATTAAAGTCATTAGTGAATTGATGAAGCAGCTCCAACAGGAACTTGACTGCAAGAGATGTTCATGTCTTATTAATCAGATTTTATGCTGAATCTGATCCAGTTTACAGCAACAAAACAACTCATTTGAGTGTTACAAAACTGGTCAAGTTCATTAGTATTCTGAAAACATTTAGCTGTTAGTAAACCACCAGAGTTATTCTCAGGAAGTAGTCATTTTACTTTTCAGTTTCCTCAAACAATGGAAAGCAGCGACTGGTGATACGCTTATGCTGTAAGCTTCACCCAAAGTGTTACGATGACTCAATCTGGGGTAAATAAACTGGATTAAAGTGGAGTTCAGATGTAGCAAAATGCGGGGGTAGCTTCATATTTAAACGTAGTTATAGATTTTTTTTAAATCTTGCAGAAGTAGCTCTACTGTGTAGGAAAAGAAAACGATATAAGGAAAACCTTCTGTGTTTTCCAGACTTAAAACTTATTGCATTTTCTAAAAACTACAAATTAGCATTTATACAAGTTACGTAAACGAGCAGGATATTCTAGAAACTGTAAGAATCTAATTAAAGACAATCTTAAATGTATTGTTCTCTTAAAAGTTACAATAAAACAGCAGTAGGGTAGTTGGGTTGGTAGTTGTACATCTTAAAGTGAATTCAAAAGTCAAAGAATTTTTGGTAGAAAAATAAATATTAGGAAAAAATCTAATTATTTTACGTAAGTGTGTGTTAAAAAAAAAAAAACAGCACTATTGATCAAACAAATTTACAGCCATTTTGATAAAAACTGACAATACATCTAAAATTTTGAGTCTTGTGACGTAGGGCTACACTGTGTACCTAAAGTTGATCAGAAACGCATCAGTGTACTATATACTGCGAAGCAGTTCAAAGTGGAGTCAAAAAATACAAATTCAGAAAATCAGATGGAGCCCCTCCATTCTTCTAAATCACAAGTGTCCAGTCCTGGTCCTCCAGGGCCACTATCCTGCATGTTTAAATTTTTTCTCTGCTCCAGTACACCTGATTTAATGGTTGAAGCCTGTTGATCACACATTGACTCAAATCAGGCGTGTTGGAGCAGAGAAATATCTGAAACATGCAGAGTAGTGGCCCTCCAAGACCAGGGTTGGACACCCCTGTTCTAAATGCCACGGCTGCACATGGAAAGTGCTGCGACCATTAGTGACAGATTATCGCAGCGTTGTGATGTGCAATAATCATGTTTTTATAATATTCTCCAGTCCTGTTAAAGAAAAGTAAATGGTTGAAACTTTCATGTGTGGCCATCTGCGCACGTGTTTTAGACTGCTCTGAAAAAAACCTTTTCTGTTCATGCATTTGTTCTCAAACTGACAAAGAGGCGCGAGGTGGTTTATTACCGTTTCATATGACATGATGTCAGAGTTAAATATTTTTCTTTGTCACAATCAGCACTGAAGCCCAAGTTCGCTGAATCCAAGGAAATCTCTGAACTGGCGCACAACTTTATAATGGTGAACCTGGAGGTGAGAAACTGCTTCTTAACTTGAAATGTTTTGTCATCTTGTTTAACAACAAAAAAATAAAAGTTTTTACTTGTAACATTTTAAACCTGGTCTGTGTGTGTGTTTGTTTTGCTACAAAGCATTTCAGGAAGTTAAAGTTTGTTATGACTGTCTCTACCGTGCAGGATGAAGAGGAGCCAAAGGATGAAGCCTTCAGCCCAGACGGTGGATACATTCCTCGGATCCTTTTCCTCGGTACGAAGCCGCCCTCCATGTAAACACTGCCTGGGCTTCCTTTTGGAGAAACAGAACACAGTAGTTGTGGTTTTCTTTAAATTGTTGAGACGGTTTCGTTGAGTTTTAGGCCCAGAGCCAGCATCACGCTGCAGTGCCGCTCATCGCAGGTGACGGCTCTCAGGAGCTCCGACTGTGACGCTCTTCACTCTGCAGAGCAAACTGAAGAGCCGGCAAATAACCGTGAAGCTACCGATCGATGGATTGGATTAAGTGCAAAAATAAAAATAAAAAAGACAGCGTAGCATCAAACAGGAAATGGTAAAAACAAAAAAAAAACTGCAGATGATGTTGGTATTTAAAAGAAAGAATCAAGATGTCTGGTGAAGAGTTACCACGGCCATTTTTTTCTCATTTTCTTTATTAAAGCCTAAACGGATTTGATTTAATTCACCAAAGCTGAAAAAGTAATTTGAGTTGATTTAAGCTTTAAGACATGTCACTATGACCTGATGACTGGGAGCTTATTTAGGGAAAATAGAAAAATACAGACAGAAGTTTGCCACTCAAAATATCTGTAAATGTATTTATTTATTTTATATAAAAGTGGTCGATGTGTGTGGTCCTTAAATGTTTTAGCATTTCTGAATGTGAATCAGAATTATCTTGAGAAATCAGAGAAAAAACTCAAAGTGAGCTTTTCAGCTTCAAGTTTGTGTTTCGGTTTGAATTAAATCTAAGATATATTTTGTTTGTTTGTTTGTTTACAGACCCCAGGGGCAAAGTCCATCCAGAGATCACCAACAAAAACGGCAATCCCAACTACAAATACTTTTACAGCACCGCAGATCAGGGTAACTATCCACGTGTCTCAATCTACCCCTCGTGGCTTAAGATTTCCAGTTTTATTACATTTGATGCAAATGTTAGATTTTTAGAAATAATTCAGGTTTTCTACAAGTCTTTCATGGTTTCTGGTAAAAGCAGAACTTCGTCACGTTCTGACGCTTGTTCTAAAAACTGGACGAGCCCGTGGCTCGCTTCAAAAGACAGTCTGGTTCCTGTTTGATCAGTCTCCACCCTCGGTACAAGGTCGAACGACGGAGTTCGCCAAGGTCGCGTCTCGTCTCCGATCCTGGAGAAGGTGTCGGGTTCGGGAACCTCGGGGTTTTACAGATGTGGTTCTGTTGGCGTCTTCGGGACGAGACCTTCAGTGTTCTCATCTGGGAAAAGGTGGAACGTTCCCTTCTGGTTGGGAGAAAATAAATATCTACGACAGATGAGCAGTTCATCAAAGTATCGTTTTTTAAAGGAGGAGAGCGATTCAGCGTGACGCGTCAAACTTCAGCTCTTTTCGCCACCTCGCTGATGTTAAAATACCGTTTTCTGTCTTTCAAGTCGTTCTCTTGGATATTTTCAGACTCAACAACAAGTTGTCTTTGCAACAAGCCGCTGGCAGCTAAGAACCTGTTGAAAACTGGTGAAGCCGTCCGTTACGCTTCGACAAACTCGAACCATAAAACATTGTTAGGGTCCTTTTTTATTTTTATGCCTGAATGATTTATAGTTTAGTTAGAAAATCCTCTCAAAATGGTCAGCTACTGGAGTTGGGAGTATAAAAAAGTAGAAAACATTTTTTCAAAGGAACTTCAAAAAGCACCTGAACGGATCACATCACAAACACAAAACATTGAGACATGAGGAATAACGGTTTAACGGTTACGTTTCTCGTGGCTCTTCCAGAACGAACTTTGAACTTGAGCGTATTTTCTGTTTCCCCTCCTCAGTGGTGTCGAGTATGAAGGAGGCGCAGGAGAAGCTGACGGGCGACGCTTTCCATCAGGGTCACACAGGAGACGAGCTGTGAGGAGGTGGCGGGGACTCCGGGCTTTAAGGGCTACACTTCTTCTGCCGGAGCTCCCACCAACGAGCCCTTGGAGTATTTACTCGTACGGTAGAAGCAAGGCGCCGTCTCCGCTGACGGATCCAAAACGAGTTTTAAAACCACCGGTGCTTGGGTGTTCCTTTCTGTTTTGCACGGTTTCTCTTCGCTCTTCTCTAACTTCCTGTCTTCATTTAAACTGTTAATTTGAACTCAAAGCCACTTGATGTCTGTAGAGGATACAATCAGCCCGTTGGCCATCCTGTATGAACTTGTGTGCACTGTTGAGTTGAAAATGTTCCTTTTTAATGTTTTCCCAAGACAGCCATAAAAGTTGTTCTTTTATGAGTTAGAAGAAACAACCGTCTGCATCTAAAACTGATTTTTAACGCCATTAAACTGCTCAGAAGTTGGGTTTTTTGGGGGAAGCTCGTTTTCGTAGTAAATGGTTAGATTATCTCAAAAAATGGAGTTTCTTAAGAATAAATATGCTGCAGTTTAAGAGAATGTGCTCTGATTGTCTTAAAAAGTTAATTTTTTTTAAAGTTTCATTTTATTTTAAAGATGCTAGGAGACTCTTCCACAAAGCAAAAACAGGCCAAATACCGTATTTTCCGTCCTACCTGTCACATCTGTCCAAATAAGTCTAATAAAGTGGAAAATCCATAAAAACGTCGCATCTATTCCGCGTCACCGCCGACATCCCGGAAATGTGGGACGGTGTTGTGCCAAAAATCAATTGGCTGCCAAATGGCGGCTGCGGGGGCGTGCATGAGGACTTTAACAAGAATTTAACAAGATTAACACTTAAAAACAATTATTTGTTTGCTCGACATTATAGCAAATGTGTGTCTCAGTTTCACTTTACTTAATAAATGCACTTTGACGGTCAAACCAGCTGCATTTGATACGCGGAAACATGAGCGCCCAGACGGCGACTTGCTGTGCATTTCTTCTAAATTTAACAAGATAACCACCTAAAAACAATTGTTTGCTCGACTTTATAGTAAAGGTGTGTCTCAGTTGAACTTTTCCTTAATAAATGAACTTCAATGGTCAAATTAGCTGCATTTCGCCGGGGCGGCGCAGAAAAACGAAGCTGATTGGACGGTTGCTCCAGGTGACCTGGACGAAGATGGCAGGCTGTGGCAAGCTGAGTCATTAATATGCACTTTTACCTGTTACATGACACAACGGCATGCCATACAAATGTTAGTGTTTATTGTTTTCAGTCAGAATGAATGAAAACGGTCATATCTCAGCCAAAAATTGGTTTATAAATATGGAAAAATCCATAAATAAGTCGCTTCACCGTATAAGTCACAGGGCATGCAAATTATGCAAAAAACTGTGATTTATAGGGCGAAAAATATGGTAATTGCCACTTTAAGCTTTATAATGGTATAAATGTTAAATCAGATTTTTTAGCTGCTTTTTAAAGTTGTTTTTGTTTCTCATAACGACTGTTAACAGTATATTCTGTCAAACTAAACTTATGTCAATAACAAGATGGCAAACCTCTGAAACAGAATTATTTTAAGGACAGCTGTTTTTAACTCTTAAAGTAACGTGCTTCCAAAGTTCCTCTACACATCCATTTGTGACAATATTTACCTAATGATTTATGTTTTCCAGTCTCTGTAATATCTTATGATCCTGACATAATTTGTATATTTATTCAGCTGGATCGCTTGTTCTGTTCTGCATGTCATGTAACGGTCCTCCTTTCTTTTTAAACTCTTCAAATGAGGAAAGAAGTTGCTTCTGTGTCTTGATGTATTTTATATGACCATGACCAAGGGTGTGGAATAGTTTGATGTACTGAGTGATTTTATGATTCATTTACGACACTGCAAAGATAAAATATCAAGTTTTATTGTCTATGCAACAACAGTGATCCCTTATCGTTGGTTTACATTAATTTGTGGGTATTTAAATATCTGACGGTGAGACAGTGCGGCCACTTTAATGCAGTCAACCTTTCTAACAGCTCTGAACATGTCTGAGGTGGAGCCACATTCTTTTATCTTAAAGGGAAAGTCTGGTCATTTTGGAACTTTTTAATAGTCAACACCTTATCACACGTGACGCCATTCATGGAAAATTGAACAATAGTTTATATTAAACCTCTACACTTTTAACATGACACCATTTGTTTAGTTTGTCTCCATTTTTTTCAGCTGAAACATTAATCAAACAATGCAGTTTTTCCATTGTTCAGTTTCAGTGCGACTCACTTCAACTCTTCTCGGTTCTACATGGTTTAGGTGATTTTTGATACAAGCGTGTGGACAGTCATGGAAAGGATGCTGGACAACTTTTTAAATATCCACGTTCAAAGCGAGCTTTCTACCGTGTAAGTAAGTGTGATGGTCACAAAACCATCACCATCCTCTGCCACCGTTTCCAAAAATGCCCTAAGGCCGAGTCGAGGTCCACTGGTCAGAAGTTCCATGAGGTCGAGTCCACTTGGTCTAGAACTCCATCCAAGTTCTGTCATCAGCCAACAAGCTCAGAAACTTCTGCACCACCTTAGAGTACCACCCCTCAACTGCGTGGGTCCTAAGAATGGAGCTGGAAGTGGATGGACCAGCCAACGGAAAGACTAAACCAAGCTGAGCCCTTGGAAAAAGACCATGTGTGCTGAGCAAAGCTTTATGGAAAGCCAAAAGGGACACATTTCATGCACTTAAACACTCAAGACGCTGACAGTTACACCAGCAGACATTTCATAGTGTACAAAATGTGACTTTTTTGACTTCACATTGTACACTATGTTAAGAAAACAACGACCAACTACAACTGTCACATAAACGTGTTCAGGTTTATATTAGGTAATGTCAACTTTATTTATAAAGCGCATTTAAATCGGCCGCTGTTACCAGTGCTTTGTAGCGTTCTTGTGTAGCATTATTTCACACAGTTGTTTTTTTTATGGAGACTAATAAACTTCAAAACGATAAAGTGGACCTCTTTGGCTAGTCGTTAGCCTGGAACGTCACGTTCTTCAGCTTTGATCTTCAACTGCAGGACTCACCACGTCCTGGTCGACGTGGACTCTACAGGACTCACCACGTCCTGGTCGACGTGGACTCTACAGGACTCACCACGTCCTGGTCGACGTGGACTCTAACGTTCATCTCCAGACTCTGAGCTCTGTGACTGATGTCACAGCTGATGAGGTGCACAACTGTTTGACAGAACACCACTTCCAAAATGACCAGACCGTCCCTTTAAAAGCGTAATTTTACAAGACAAAATAAATTACAGGAAAAAGATGCACTTCTACCTATCCTACGGTAAAACAGAATCGTAAGAACTGCGTCTTCCACTTGGCTCAAAGCATTCAGAGACAAAACCTGCTGAGTTTAAACAGCTGGAGGCGAAACTCCACCTGAGACATGACATTTAAAAAAGCACGAGCAACGTAAAGGATATCAAACGTGGCTTTGAAAGCTCTAAAAAGACATTTAAAAAAGTTACAGGAGAGACGCAAAGCTAAAAATCACTAACTGCACAATGCTGCTGTAAAATCAGCGGCACGATCACATAATAGAAAGATCTATAAAAAGATGTGCAAACATCTGTATATTTAAACATGCACAACTAGAAAATAGATTGGAGTAAACTGGTGGATTTTAGGTTCATGGATGTGCAATTGATAATAAAATTTCAGCGTGAGTCCAGTGTCAAACTGGACTTCATATAATGTGAATATCTTTACAAGATTACAACATAAACCAGTTGAATTCTTTTACGTCCCAGCCGAGAGCTAAAGCTAAAGGGAGAACCTCTGTCCAGCCTCTCGATGTTTGTCCAGTGGCTTTTCAGGATGTTAAAATGCTGAGTCGGGGAAGAAGTGTGCGATGTGGACGGGATGATGCAGAAACCCTAAAACCTTCCCTGCTTGGCGTCTCCGATGGCCCCCCACACGTCAAAGACAAACTCATCGGGAAAAGCGAAGTCTCCGAGGGTCTGGTCGAGCGCCATGGCGAATTCATCGGGGTTCTTCTTGTCCCGGCCGACTTCAACCATGGTAGCGGCTGCAGAGGAGAGATCGCAGAGCTAAACTGATTCCACTGAAACCAGAACTGTTCACAACATGGCAGGGTTGGACTCTAGACTGAACTCACCAAGTTCGGTGTCTCTGATGCCCATGTAGCTCTCCAGAAGGTCGTCCACTTTCTTTATGGCTTTCTCCTCAAATTCTGTTGGCTGCAAAACAAATTCATGTTAATCCTGGATTACACTGTATTTCAATTCATAACATCAGTAATCTGGAAATCACCTAACAGGAAGTTAACTAATCCCCCAATTAAGGAAACAAGCTCAAATTTGCCGCTCTCACCGACACCGGGATAAAGAAAGGATGGATGTTCAGAGATGCTGATATATTAAGGCATTTTAAACCCTTCCCACACTCTTGCAATATTCTAAACACAATGTTTCGAAACTCTAAATACTCTAAAGTGCACAGCATGTCATGATTTCGGCTCTCTGCCTATGGTTGCGCTCTTGGCCACGCCCACTTCTCCGCTCTGCACAGAGATCAGCTGCAGGAGGAAGTTATCCCACAGCTGTGGGCTGCACAAAGGTGCTAAATCATTTAAAATAATTTATTTTAAATAAAAATCCCATGCCGATCGTGCGGCTCATCCATCAATCAGCCAATGTGTGTCATGTCCAATCTTACTTTGAAAAACCACGATAAAGCGAGCCCGCGAATATCGAACTGCGAAGTAGCGAGGGACTACTGTATTTACTTAATAAAGAGATCTGAGATTGATCTGAGCGGCTGATGAGAACCCAAATGAACCCACTGATGAGGTTCAGGTGTGTTACCAGTGACACGTGTTACGAAGCCCAGCTGAGTCAGACTGCTGCTACAAAATGTTACAGAGGAGTTACAACTTGCCACGTATTCAAATTATAACTAAATATTAATTGTGATTGACTAAACTGTAGTTTGTGTCGGTCGACTCTGGTACTTTTCCTCCCGTAAACATTTACGGTACATCTGTTTACAATTAAGATGTTTTACCACATGTATACGCAAATAAATCAATCAAAATCTTAAACGCCAATTTCATTTTTAGGGGGGTTCTGTTATAAAGGAGGCTGCAGAAGTAAAAGAGAGTTCATGGTGCTCTCACAGATTATTATTTGTTCTATATTCGGACCAGGATATCTAATCCTAATTATCCACAGCTCTCATCTCGAGTTACGGTGACTCGCGGTCTTTTTTAGATTTGGCGCACTGTAGAAGCCAAAGTGTCGCCCGCTGCCATGAAAGGTGACCAACCATGTAATGGCCTGCGTGCGTTTGTCCGACATTAACCAGCTCATGAACCACCGGACCTGTTTTTATGAAACTCCCTGAAAGTAATCAGTGGATGTATCAACAACCGATTAACTAGGACTGAGATGGCCAGTGCATCTGAAACAGAGTCATCTGCTCGTGATGAGCTTCGTTGCAGGTGACCCAAAGGTTAAATCAGAACACGAGCCGTCTTACCTCGTCCTCCACAGTCGCTGGACCTTTAGACCGGAGCCTCAGGGTGCTCCTCCCCGTGCCGATCTTGTTGTCACCACCTGGTTTGCCGCCCTTTGACCTCGGCTCGAGCATTTCTGTCAATCACAAATCACGTCATGTCAACCGTTCTGTTAGTCCATAGCAGAGCCACTTCAGCACTAAACAAAGAATTAATCTGTGTTTTTAAAGCCTTATTTTGCTCACAGACTGAGCCCCTTAAAGTTTTTGTCTTGAAATTAAAGCTCATATTTTGTGTGACAAGTATGGGTAAGATTAGGAATGAGATCATCAGAGGTACAGCACAGGTTGAACTGGGAGATGAAGTTATAGAGGCCAGACTGAGATGGTTTGGACACATCCAGAGGAGGGACAGTGGGTATACTGGTAGAAGGATGTTAGAAATACAGCTGCCAGGAAAAAGACAAGGAGGAGATATGGATGCAGTTGAGAGTGAGGACAGAGGATGCAGAGGACAGAGATAGTTGAGGATGACTCGCTGTGGAGATCCCTGAAGAGGGAAAAGCAGAAGACTTTTTAATGTGCTGTGTGTAGCTGCTGCTCTTTTTTTTGTTTTTCCTCACCGAAAGCCTTCATGGGCTCCACCAGTTTGAGGGTGAAAGGTTTGTCTCTGGGAAGGTCCTTCAGCATGCGAGCGACCTCGTAATGCCGCGTCCCGACGATGTTGCGCCCGTTAACGCACTCTATGTGGTCGCCCACGCAGATCACCTTCACCTTGTCCGCGACGCTGCCCTCTCTGATTCGCTGGCGTCCAGGGAGAGAACAGGAAGTGGGAAGAAAATCAGCAACAAACGCAATAAAAAGAGCCAAACCTAAGTGGAAGAGGAGATTTGTGTATTTGACATGACAGTTCTGAAATGATAAACAGCTGTGAGACTCTTTCTGTGAAATGTTCAAACAGATGAGAAAGAAAAAAAATATATTTTAGCCATAAATATATGTTATCACAGAAACGGTGAATTTACTGATGATCAACGAGCTGAAAGCTGCAGTTAGGAATTTTAAGGTCACCCTCTTGTGCCGTGAACATTTGACTGAGACCGTCCAGGCAAACAGAAATAAATGAGAAAGTAGGGAGGAGAGATGGAATGATGAGTTCATTATTGAAAAATTCCCCTCTGGTAATTTTATCACAAGTTATCGTTTCTGCAGCTCATCGCTGAATAACAGCCACGTAACATGGACTCAATCATTGCTGACAACATGTACCCACAGCTGCTCCAACATGTACCCACAGCTGCTCCAACATGTACCCACAGTTGCTCCAACATGTACCCACAGTTGCTCCAACATGTACCCACAGCTGCTCCAACATGTACCCAAAGCTGCTCCAACATGTACCCACAGTTGCTCCAACATGCACCCACAGCTGCTCCAACATGCACCCACAGCTGCTCCAACACGCACCCACAGCTGCTCCAACACGTACCCACAGCTGCTCCAACACGTACCCACAGCTGCTCCAACATGCACCCACAGCTGCTCCAACATGTACCCACAGCTGCTCCAACATGCACCCACAGCTGCTCCAACATGCACCCACAGCTGCTCCAACATGTACCCACAGCTGCTCCAACATGTACCCACAGCTGCTCGTTTTAGAAAAGATTTAACTCATCTGAACTCGTTTCCTCTCACATGAAGAGGCAGATCCTTGTAAGAGCCTGACCCAGATTTAACTTTGCCAATGTCTCTAGTAAACAAATTACAGCACAGAAAAGAGCAAACCAGTTTAAATAAAAGAAAAAAAAGTTTAAATAAGGGATATCACAAGTTCATTCCAGATGTATGCATTTAAATAATGTGTTGTAAATTCATTTTTTAACTTCTGATGGTCAATGTTGAGCTCATAATCAGATGCTATCCAAACCAGCCACTAGGGAGCACAAGCCAGCGTATTCCCAGTGCCCAAGCCCAGGTTGCTACCAGTTCATTCAAACACCATACTGGATCAGTTGAGGCCCAGATTAATAAAACTAATCTGTGCTGTTGACAAACAGGGTGCTGGTGGAAACTGGGCTTTTGTTAGTTGAAAAGCACGAGGAGGAAAATGTGCCAGCTCTGTCAAGAGTGTAGAAAGGATGGTTGAAATCCAGCTGCAAGAAAAAAGACAAAGGATGGATGCAGGAGGTGGAGGTGGAGGTGGATGACTCGCTGTGAGGACCCCTGAAGATGGAACAGCTCAGCTCAAAGAGGAACCAGATGCTGGCCCATCTGAAACGACCCAACCGCCCTTTAGTGTCTCTGCAGCAGCGTCACATTTTCAGGGTGCAGTGCAGCAGCGGCGTCACATGATGGCACGCGTGAGCAGTTGGATCCAAACACCAGAGAGATCAAATCTGAAGACCAGGATTCATGAACACCCTCTACACTCTGTTGTGATTTATGACTCGTACCTGCATTAAAACTTCTTAAATTATACAAAGCACGCAAACAACTTGGTTAAGGACCGATGAGTAACAGACTCAATAAAATACCTTGAATCTGATGTTTTCTATCGCACCTCTGCTCTAACAGATGAGCCCAAAGAGGAAAAAAAAGAAATTTATATAATAATAACAAGGATTTTCTTGGTTTAGTGTAAAAGTTGCTCATTTTTATTTATTTTTTTTATCTTCGACATCACTTATCTGACATACAAATTCTTATGTTTGTTTTAATCATTATTTAAATGTACAGTTGTCCCTCGCTACTTCGCAATTCGTTTTTCATGGACTATCACGATTTTCCAATATAAGATTGGCACGGAATTTTTATTTAAAATAAATTTTAAATTGTTTAGCACCTCCTGCACCTGTGTGCAGCCCAAGCTGCAGGAGAAGCTTCTCACGCAGCGAGTTATATCTCCGCTTTGCAGTAAAGTGGGCGTGGCCAAGAGCTCTGGCAGATGGCAGGGAGCTGAGATCATGACATGCTGAGCTGTTTTAGATCGTTTAGAAACATTGTTTAGAATATTGCAAGAGTGTAGGAAGGGTTTAAAACGCCTTTATATATATATATATATATATATATATATATATATATATATATATATATACATATACATATACATATACACACACACACTAGAAAAAACTACTACTTACTACTTGTACTACTACAGTAGTCCCTCATTTATCGTGGGGGATCCGTACTCTGAAGACCCACGTTAAGTGAAAAACCGCGAATTAGGAATATTAGTAAAAGTAGTAAGTAGTAGTATTATATATATATATATATACATACAGTATATATATATATAAAGGCATTTTAAACCCTTCCCACTCTCTTGCAATATTCTAAACAATGTTTCTAAACGCTCTAAAAGAGCACAGCATGTCATGATTTCAGCGCCCTGCCTCCTCTGCTCTGTGCTACCTGCAAGCGCTCTTGGCCACGCCCACTTCTCCGTTCTGCACGGTGAACAGCTGATCAGCTGCAGCAGAAAGTTTATCCTACAGTATGGACTGCACAACAGTGCAGGAGGTGTTATATGATGTATTTATTTATTTTTCATTTACCCTTTATTTATACAAATAAAATGTATTCGTATAAATAATTTATATTATTTAAATCATTATTTATTATTACATATATCTTATATTTATATATATTTTTTATTTTATTTTAATTATTTATACAAATAAAAGTTATGTTAAACAAAAAATTAATGCCGATTGTGCAGCTCATCCATCAATCAGCCAATTGTGTGTCATGTCCAATCTTATTTTGAAAAACCGCGATAGAGCGAGTCTGCGATAAAAGAACCGCAAAGTAGCGAGGGACTACTGTACTACTATTCCTACTTCGCGGTTTTTCACTTATCGCGGGGCTTCAGGGTACGGATCCCCTGCAATCTGATTCAAGATGGCTGCCACTGCTAATCAACTTTAGAATGTCAATAACTCAAACTGAGCTAAGATTTGGTGTGGTAGTAGTTGAGAGTCATCCCCAAATCATACTCAAAACACTAACAGGAGCTTTGTATAAAACAATGGTTGTAAACTACCATTCCTTCAAGGAATCACAGCTTTTTATTATAGATTTATTTGGTTAATAATTAGGACGCTTTTGTAAATTTTAATCCTCTGTACATCATATTATTTTGTAAATACATTACAGTTTATACTGACTCCAGTCCTGGGATCTAAATAATCGACTAGTTGATGTGATTGTTCAGGACAGACTAACGTGATAAACATGACGAAACAGAAAGTTTACTCTGGAAAATAAACAATTGTGCTGATCTTAATAAATGACATTACTCTGATTCTGTAAAAGTTTTATCTCTACTCACCTTTATGAAGGCAAATCCTGCTCCGTTGTCGGTGATCGTGAGGCCAAGAGCATCTTCAGATTTATACACTTCCACTTCCTTTTTGAGTCCTCTGATGTGGGCGAAAATAAAGTCCTCGAGGCCGATCTGACCTCCCAGCAGCTTCTCCATGTCGATCTTGTGGGTGTTGAGGGTGCAGAACAGGATCTGCAAGAAGAAAATGTCCAGATGTTATGGTAGTGTTCTTCTCTTGGCTGCTGCCTTCTGCAGGGGGAGGCCACAGCAAACCAGCTCGTATGAAAGGTTTGGCGACGGTTCTACGCCGGACGCCCTTTGTGATGCAACCTGGGCTCAGACCCGCAGTCTCAGGATTATGAGACCGAAGCACTGACCACCATCTACCACAGCCTGTAAGTTCAGATGTTATAAACAATATGGGAGGTTTCTACTAATCAGTGAACAACAACTACCATATATTTCGCTGTATAAGTCGCACCTTTTTGCATAAATTTGCAAGTCGTGCAACTTATACACTGAAGCGACTAATATATGTTTTTTTCACATATTTATAATCCAATTTTTGGCTGAGATCTGATGATTTCATTCATTCTGACATGGAAAATATTGAACACTACCATTTTCAGCCACTAGAGGGCACTCGAGTAGCAGCTGCATTTGACCACGCCGCCCAGACGAAATGCAGCTGATATGACCATTAAAGTGAATTTATTAAGGAAAAGTTTGACTGACACAATGTAGCTATAATTTTGAGCAAACAAATAATTGTTTTTAAGTGTTAATCTTGTTAAATTCTTGTTAAATTCCTCCCGTGCATGCTCCCGCCATTTGGCAGCCAATCGATTTCTGGCACAACACCGGCCCACGTTTCCAGGTGGTCAGCGGTGACTCATAATAGATGTGACTTATACCGCGGTGCGACGTGTGTGGCGGCAAGTACGGTAATTTTAAGGCTTTAAATCTAAATGAAAGCTTCATAATTACTGTCATTAGTCACAGCGCAAGAGTCGGATTCATAAATTGCCTCTGAAAGTGTCAGACTGTAATGTTCTGGTGCTAAATATAGGAATCTTCAGGAAGCCTGGTATTCATTGCAGCAGCTCTTTATGACACTTTATACCCGCTCAGTCTCACATGTTTCTGCACATTTTTAAAAAGCCTTTAACAAAGCAAACAGGGAAAAAAAAAGCCTTTCTTGCAGGACTTGAAAGGTGAAAATCTGGCTTCACACCTTTTGTGAGTGAAATGTCTGGCCGGGGAAGGGAAAATGGAAACGTGACGAGCAAGAACGTTAGACAGAAGCAGACTGACGTAATGTCACTTCAAACGGAGAGTAGACAGTGAAACCCAGGAGGAACAGCTCAGTGGTTGTAAATCATTTATTCAAAATTAACTCATCAGGAGAGCAAAGCTATCAGATTCTACCTTAAAAGAAATTAACATAGTCCACCGGACAGCCATGAATCTATCTTATATGGCAGGACTTAGTGGACCACTTCTATGGTACACAGAAAATAAGTAGATATATTTTTCTGGTTGTCAGTAGGACAAACTCTCCAACGCTCCAATCACAAGGCCTTCCTTGCTTGTGTACCAACAGGCATTGCTCATGCACCCATTAGCTGGCACGGCCTCGTTCGTTGCCTTGGGCTACCAGACTATAAAAGAAAGGGATTAAAATGGAGCGAGGCCACTAAAGGGAATAAAAAAGGGGCTTATGTCTGTGGAAAAAGGAGATCCTTCAACTGCTTTTAGCGTTCATTTGGAGCAGGATGGGAGAAACAGCAGCGGTGCAATAAGCTACCGAGGCAGCAAACTGCATTAGGCCAGCAGCCTCGTCACACGCTGCAATAAAAGCCTCTGCTTCGACACTTTGACTCACAAGAACAGCTACTACACCTCCCACGACCTGTGGCACACTGACAGAAACCCCGACAGCCTCGCGGAAAAAGAGCTATTCGCAGGAGGTTTGCCGTTTTTAGTTCGGCATCATGTCAGCTGCTTTCAAAAGACAAAACCAAAGGTGAATCTGCTGACTTTCACTGCTAGCAATAGTAAAATAAACACCTTTTTGCTATTTTGGCAGTTTATTTCCTAAAAAGAAATTGGAATCTGACTATATAGAAACCAGATTACTAGAAGTACTAAAATCAACCAAAGAAACTCCTAATGTACCAAACAATTCCTGTTATGCTACAACTACAGTTTAAATCGAGACAACCTCTTGTTGCTCGTCATTACTGTCTTGTATTTGCAAAAGTTCTACAAACAGAAATAAAACCTATTAAAGACCCAGCAGTCCTTAAAAGAATGCATATCACCTGCCACCTGTTTTTTTTTTTTTCATTCATTCAACCTTTATTTATACAGGTTAGTTCTCATTGAGCCTCAAGGACTCATTTACAAGAGAGACCCGTTTCAGAGAGACAAAAGTAGATAAGGAAAAGAGAAACGTGAGGGGAGGTTAAAAAAAACAATCGATCTCGCACTATGTGCTGGCTGAGGCACAGTGGGAAAGTTGCAAAAAAGAGACTTCATTATGTATTATGACATCATCATACATTTATGCATGAGGAGGCCGACAAAGGCGGTGCGTTGTCCGTGGACACAGTTCCATAGTCCTGATAAGAGATGGTGCAGTGTCTATCAGCCGGCTCAGCTCTGATACAGGTCCACAGATGTCCTCGGTGGGGGGAGGGGAGCGTGGCAGATAGCCACAAGTTAAAGCCATCAAACCTTAGAAATAATTTTAAGTGCAATAACTTGTATAAACTGTGGGCACCTGGGATGCGTGTTGTGAAGTATCAGCTACTACCATGTAAGATTTTAGCTCAATATCTGTAAAGTTCACTGAGTTACAGCCATTTTGTTTTATTGGACAATCTTGAATTGGATTGTGTTAATGGGATGCAGAGGTACATCCAGTGGTTACTGAAAGTTTATTCAAATATTTAGTGGTTTATGAGATATTCTGCTAACAGACTAACAAGGTTGACTCAAATAATTTTAAAGTTTTGAGCCAAAATCTTGTGCATTGTGTACCCTTGGAGTATGTGTTGTGAACGAGGCTCAGCTACTACCACACCAAGTTTTAGCTCAATATTTGTCATGCATGTTGATTAGCTTGGGTGGCCATCTTGAATTGTGGGGACTCCAAAACTCAATCAGTTGCAGATGTGTAGTCTAAGAATGTGTCCAGAGGTCAAAGTGTGACAATGTCCAGTACTCCGACTGCGTGGGAAAGACTCTGTCCTCTGGTTCACGAGGTATTTTGCTAACTCCAGAGACAAACGAGCGCACGCAGACACTGGCAAAAAACCTTGTATCGCCTTCGGTAGTTGGCGAAAGCACAAACCTTTCACAGCACTCAGAGGAGCGAGATTCATTTACTGCACAGTATAATGTGCAGTGAGAAAGTAAATTGTGTTTTTATCGTAACGTTGCTGCAAAATGTTGTCAAACAAAATAAACTGTATCAAGGAGGAACAGAAAGAAATACTGTAGTAATAATAATAATAATAATATATGTAGCAGCATTAAATCTCTACAGCCACCTACGTGCATTTTGTTCTGCTACAATGAATAATTAGAGCTAATTTCTCTTGAGGCTGAAGAAAGATTTAACATAAACACAGCGTCAAATTGCAGCTCCGCCTGAAATCTGCTCTGCATTTAAACAACATGACTTAAAGCTTAAGAAACCTGTTTCTTTGGCAACTGAACTGCTTTTAAAACCTTTAATGACACGAAAGAGACGCTGAAGGATTAAACGGAGAGCGTGAAACCTGCAGCAGGAAATTACCCAGGTCATGAAATGTGATAGCTTTTCAAGATCTCGAGAACTCTTATAGGGAAGGCGAGGACATGTCCACCTCTTCACTTCTCATTCCTAATAGCCAAAGCTGATCGTTTCCTTTGAGAAACTTTAAACAACTTCTTGGTTTGTTAGAACAAAACATGTGACCCGCGCTGGAGGAGGAGGATTAAGTCCAGGTTACAGTAAAAAAAAAAAAAAAAGGTGGACATTTTTTTGCCGTAATTGAGATTTGTGTACCGTACTTTCACTGTATAAGTCACATATTTTTGCATAAATTAGTGTGCCCTGCGATTTATACAGTGAAGCAAATTATTTGTTCCCCCCCCCCATATTTATGACCCAATTTTTGTCTGAAATCTGACGATTTCATTCATTCTGACTGAAAATATTGAACACTACCATTTTCAGCCGCTAGAGGGAGCTCAAGTAATATGGCAAGCCAAGTGTCTCATTAATATCTAAAAAAGTTAAATCTGGTCCTCTGGACAGTCAAAAAAACAAAACAAAGCAAATCAACAAAAAATGTAGAAACGTTTCGTCTCTCATCCGAGAGACTTCCTCAGTCTGAGGAGCTGTATTCAGCTCAGTCTCTTAAATAGCACCGTCTCAGGGTGGATCAACCAGTTGCATTGAGCATGCATCAGGATGTCTCATTAATAGGTAAAAGTGGCTATTAATGAGACACTTGGCTTGTTAAACCAAGCCACCTTCGTCTCGCTCCAAAACTCCTGAAGCAAACGTCAAATCAGCTGCATTTCACCACGCCACTCAGGTAAAATGCAGCTGATTTGACCATTAAAATGCATTTATTAAGGAAAAGTTCAACTGAGACACACCTTTGCTATAATGTCGAGCAAACAAATAATTGTTTTTAAGTGTTAATCTTGTTAAATTCTTAAAGTCCTCCTGTGCATGCTCCGGCAGCCGCCATTTGGCAGCCAATCGATTTGTGGCGCAACACCGGCCCACGTTTCTGGGTGGTCAGCGGTGACACATAATAGATGCGACTTATATGACGAAGCAGCATATTTATCTTTTTTTCCACTTTATTAGACATATTTTTACTGATGCAACTTATACGGTGGTGCGACGTGTACAGCAGAAAGTATGGTAAAAATGAAACCCCATCTAACAATCCTGGAAGTAAAACAGCATTTCATTTTGGTGATTTACCTTTAAGTCAAAGTTTTCTAATAGGTATGACTTGAGGAAAAAAAAACTAAACTTTTTGAATTATTTCATTTTTCTCGGGCGGCAGCCATAGAGCCAAAAAATCTCTTTATTTAATGTTTCTCCCATTTTGTCCTCATTAAAAACCAAAAAAAATTAAAAAAAAGAGTTTTGAAATCAGCACTCTGGTAAACAAAACTAG